ATTTTAGTTTCCAGGGAGAACCGCGAGGAGGTCGACCTGGTTGGGTATATTGCTAGCAATGGGATTCTCAGTCTCCATTACTAACAATCCATTTTCCCCCTATATATTGTATTTACAATATCTATACTTATATTGGGCAAATAACAGATATATTAATCGGTTATCCAATATATAATATGGGGAAGAAAAATCTGTTCGTAATGAATTAGATATCCGAATAGTATAGGCGATATCGCAATGGGTGGTCCTTTATGTCCAGAAGAACATTATATATAAATATCGATTGTTACTCATCTCTAGTAAAAACTACTTGTCTAATATAAAAATGCTGGAACAAAATCTAACTAGCGTCCGTTACGTTTCCCACTCGTAATTTACTCGCATTGATTTAAAGCTCATACATAAACTGTCCCTTCACTATGAACTGAGACTAGAACAATTAAGATTACCCATCTCGTTTACAATATATTCAGTCAGAGAGAAAGTCTGTACGTCGATCCGTACATTTGATACATGAGATTTTATCCTATGCACAGATAGGTTATTAGTCATTGTAACCGTAATGATGTTATTTACGATTGTAAAGGAAATTATCAAATTATTTATTATTTTAATATTATTTTTTGCTTCGCAAAAATAGCGATTTCATTAGTAGATACTCACATATTGAAGAACGACGAGATGTTTCATATGTTAGATACGTGAGATTTGAAACATTTGAATTTAGAACACGAAGTTTATCGACATGATTTTGCTTCAATTTTTTTTTTTTGTTTACATCGTAACTAATTAACATGAGATCTATATGAGAGTAAATTATAAATTGCAATTGCTAATGTAAAAGTATTGTAAAAATGTGTTCAAAATTGTCGAAATAATCGCGTAACATATTGACAAAAAAAAAAAAAACTGAAGAGAACTCACTTCTTTTATAATTAGTTTAAAATATCATAGCATGGCGATACAACCTTTTATACCTTTACTTATCTAAGACTAAATCTAGTCTGGCTTTGCACGGGTAGATAGAATTTTCTAAAATAATATATAGCCTATGCTACTCTTTTTTTTATATACAACTTAGAATGGCAAACAAGCTGACGGTCCACCTGATGGAAAGTGGTAACCGTCGCCTATAGACATGAGTAGTACCATGGACATAGTATACTGTTTCGCCCATGATACCCCCATGCGTTGCCATTCCTGAGGACTCAGGTGTTATTCCTCTGTACCCAGTAAATTCACGCCTGATAATGTAGCTTTCTATAGATATAAGAAGCCTAATATATATTCCATTCTGATGTATTCACACATTCTGATAAAATCGCCTTAAGTCCTTTCACGTCTAAGAACTATTAGATAATACGTAACATTCCGTACTTACAGGTTTAAATTGGAAGACTGCATTAGAATTGTAGCAAAAACAAAGTTTTATATAGAGAAGATAGAATGTTACTCGTTGGATTCATCGGGCATCTGTAGATAAATCATGCTAACAATTGGTATCATAAACAGTAGTTTTTTTTTTTTTTTTTTTTTTTCTTCTTTTGTGGCGTTCACCCCGATATTAGGGTATTTTGCCAAGAACAAAACGGGGAAACGATAATAGTAATAAAAATACCTAACACAAACGAATTTAGAAAGGATAAGGATTAGGTCTAGGATATTTATAGGATATGAAGGATATACTTGTACATATGAGAATATATTTATAAATATATAGGAAAAGCAATTGATGCAACTATAAATGTATTCATGTAATATAACTAAATCTTAATATTGTTATCATATATATATGAAGATAGTATTTTATAGATAATAGGATCATTGGAAGAAAGTAGAGTAAGAATAGAAGTTGGGAATGGAACACGGATGGATCGGAGATGATTAAAAAGGGAGGTGTGGTCAAATTTAGAACATGAGAAGAATATATGATTCAAGTCCGCCACTTCAGCACCGCAATTACACGACGAACTTTGTACAATACCAAGCTTGTATAAATGAGAAGGTGTGCATACGTGACCTAGACGCATACGAGTTATAATAGTTGTTGCGGTCTTTCCAAGCTTTAATTTACAAAACCATGGTTTGAAAGGAATATCGGGTTGTATAAGGCGATAAAATCTTCCTTTTATTGTACTTGTTTTTTCCCAATATTCCTTCCAGGCATACCTTAAATATATTTTTGGGAGACAAGCTAGGTCACTACAGTAATTATGATACGGATACATATCACCACAAGTTACAGCCTCTCTTGCAATAAGGTCAGCTTTGTCATTGCCGCTAATACCACTGTGTCCTGGTAACCAGGCAAAAGAAACGGAATACCCTCTCAACATGCAAAGATAAAGACTTTGTCTTATGTCACAAATAATGGGATAAACTGGTTTTGATTTAAACGGATATTTGGCTAGAGCTTGCAAAGAGCTCATAGAGTCAGTGAAAACTATTGCCTTATGTAATTTCATTAAAAGTATATATTCTACAGCTTTTAAAATACCATAGCATTCCCCGGTAAAAACTGAAGATTCCGGTGGAAGTTTAATTTTTTGAACGATATTAAATTGTGAATGAAACACACCCACACCTACACAACCGCTATTGTCTGGTTTTGATGCATCAGTAAAGATGTAGTGCCATTCATTCCATTCAATGTCAGTTATAAACATAAATTTGGCATTCAATTCTGAATCATTTTTTGATAACCCAAAATCATATTTAATATTAGGAGATAAAACTAAAGATTGATATGAGCATTTATAAATGGGAAAACAGGACGATGTAAAAGTGGGAGATTCTATGGATTTATATTTTTCATAACTTTGTATTAAACATGGAGGTTTTTTATGTTTCCAATAAGATGAAGACGAAATAAAGATATATAGTTGAGATAACTTTTGAATAAGCGGATGATCAGATAATTGTAAACAACGAAAAAAGAAGCGATCAGATAAATATTGCCTTCTTAAAACCAAAGGTGGATCACCGACTTCGAGCTGTAAAGCATTGATTGGACTTGATTTCATTGCTCCAGAGATAATCCTCAAGGCCTTTGATTGAATTAAATCCAATTTCTTAAAAGCAAATGAACTTCCTGGAGCTAACAAAAAAGTTCCATAATCAATGACACTCCTTATAAGACCATTATAAGCAAGTTTTAGTGAAACGGGATGTGCTCCCCACCAAACTCCAGCAAGGCACCTAAGAATGTTGAGGTTACGCTCACATTTCGTGGAAATATAATTACAGTGGGACAGACCTGTTAATTTATTATCTAGCACGATACCTAAAAATTTAATTTCAGTCTTTATAGGAATGTATGAGTTATCATAAAGCACCTTAATTTGTTGCGGTGATCTCATTCTTGAAAACAAAACTACACTACTCTTGGTTACAGAAAGATTAAGACCATTTGCATCTAACCACGTTTTTAACAAATCTAATGAATCAGATAATTTGGCAGAAGCAGATTCTATGGACTTCGCAGTAAAATATAATAAGAGATCATCAGCATATTGTAAAATTTTGACGGATTTATCAAGGAATGATTCTAGATCGTATGTGTATATGTTGAATAAAATTGGACTGAGAACAGATCCTTGTGGAAGGCCTTTCCATACTGTTCTAGATAATTTGGTATCTTCATCTAGATCCATATGTATTGTTCTTTCTGATAAAATATTAATAATGAAATTAGAAAGTATTACCGGTACATTTAAAGCTTGTAATTTAGTTTTTAAAATAGAAATTATTACATTATCATAGGCAGAATTTATATCTAAAAAGGCTGAGAGGATTGACAAATTTTGTGAGAAAGCTATATGAATATCTGAAATAAGAATGCTCACATTATCTAAGGTGCTCTTACCTTTCCTAAAACCAAACTGGTTCGGGGATAGTAAGTTATTACTTTCTAAAAACCATTCTAGACGGTTCTTCACTAAATGTTCAGCTAGCTTTAGTAAGACAGAGGAAAGTGCAACAGGACGGTATGAAGATGGTTCAGAAGGTGGTTTATGAGGCTTTAGAAATGGTATAATAATCTGAGACTTCCATGAAGTAGGTATATTTCCCGAAATAATTATGGAATTAATTATATTTAAAAAGTAAATTAATGTCGCATCGCTAGCATTTTTAAAAAAGGAATACGGTATACCGTCTTCTCCCGGTGCAGAGTCTTTAATACAAGCTAGAACACCTTTAAGTTCTACAAGAGTAAAAGGAGACTCAAGTTCGGATAATTCGTCAGAGACGGATAGAGAAATATTGTAAAGGCATTCCGGCACATAACTAGGAGCAAGGCGATCTAAAAATTTATTCGCTAAAGTTAAATCGAGTGCAGAACGTGATGTATGATCACTAAAGGCAGATCTGAATCTTTTAATATTATTCCAAACGACTGATGAATTAACTTCTGGACAGATAGAAGAACAAAATCTTCTCCAACCTTCCAATTTCTTTTTTTTCAGTAGTTTTCGAGTAGAACGTGAAACTGCGGTGTAAATTTCAAAATTTTCTGATGTCATGTAATTATTATAATTTTTTTCAGCCTCTTTACGATTTTTAATTGCTTCCGTACAATCTTTGTCCCACCAAGGTGGGGAGGGAATTTTCCCTGAAGCACTATTTTTAACAGGAAATAATAAATCAGCAACCTGCTTCATATTAATTATCAAGTCATTACAACATTGATGTTCATTTCCATGATAAACAATAGGTAACTCCGATATTTTATTATCTAAATATTGTTTGTAAATATTCCAGTCTACATTTGATAAATTATATTTAAGTCGAGGACGACTCTTTCGACTTGAGGGAATGGAAATTGGAAAAGAAAGAATGAGGGGAAAGTGATCGCTTCCGAAGGTAGAGGAATGAGGATACCACGACAGTGAAGAAGCTAAATCAGAAGAACATATTGAAATATCAGGAGCACTAAACCCTTCATTCGGTGCAGTTCTACGTGTCGGTACATCTGAGTTAATAATACATAAGTTGTAAGTGTCAATTATCGTCAGGAGTTTTCCACCATAAAAATTAGAAGTAGAACTGCCCCACGATTGGTGCTGAGCATTAAAATCGCCCATTACGAGAAAAGGTTTAGGTAAAATTGAAAATAATTGTTCTAGTTGTGAATATATTTGGCATGTAGGATCAGGAATATATAAAGTAACAAAACAGATACCATTTATAATTATAGCAGCTGCATTAATGCCGCTATATACAGGAAGCGAAAAAGAAGAAAAAAGAAGGGAGTTTTTGACCAATATGGTAACACCGCCATATCCGTCAGCTCTATCATCACGGAGACTTGTAAAGCCTGAAATCCTAAAAGGATATCCTGGCTTTAACCAAGTCTCTTGTAGAGCTATTATAAAAGGATTATATTTATTAATCAAATAAAATAAGTCTGATTTCTTATTTGTTATGCTACGACAGTTCCACTGAATTATTTGGACTTTGTAATCCATTGTGAGAAGTTAATAATTGAGAAAATACATTGTACATGGCATCGTTGGACGGTGGTAAAGTTGTTTGTATCGTTTTTGATTGCGATAACACTTTAATAAGCATGAGAATAATATCAATGATGGATTGATTATTGTCAATATTATTTGATGATAATGCACAACCATTAGAGGGAGCAGGAATATTATATTCCTTAACTATGGCTTCATGGGCAGAACGATCATATCCTTGTTGTATTTTTTGAGGAGAGCGTGGTTTAAGTGTAACTGTTTTTTTATATGATGATTGTATATGTGGTAATGATGATTTCTCTTTAAGGAAAGAAGATTGAAAATGAGATTTATTGGAAGGAGATGATGATGTTAATACATCTGAATATAGTTTAGAAGTTGGAGGATGAAATTTTGATGCTTCAGCATAAGAAACACAACTATGGGCCATTGTTTCTTTAATGGCTTTCTGACGTGCATATTCAGGACATTTTTTACTAATTGCTGAATGAGAACCATTACACAAGATACAAGAAACATTTTCCTCATCTACTTCACATTTATCACCTGTATGATTTTGCCTGCATTTATAACACCGAGGATTTGAACGACACTGCATCTTGACATGTCCGAACCTACAGCAGTTATAGCATTGGATAGTAGGGTAAATGTACAAATCTACAGTTAATGATGTGTAAAACATAAATACTCTTTTTGGCAATATTTGTCCATCAAAAGTAATAACAATGGTTTCAGTATTAATAAAACTTGGTTGTCCTTCATTAATTGTCTTTTTCTTTATTCTTCTGGTTTTTAGAATTTTCCCACAACCTATCGGTACTGATATATTTTGGATTACTTCCTCTTCTGTCCAATCTTTAGGAATACCCCTCACAATTCCCATACGGGTCACATGGAAAGAAGGTATAAATGCCTTAAAATTATGTGTCACTAAGTTACTATTATTTAAAAATGCATTTGCATTTTCAAAATTTGAGAAAGAAAGCGATAAACGGTTTCTTCCTATTCTTTTGAGGCTACCATTCACTATATTATTTATCTTATTAGTGTGTAAAAAGCGACCAAATGCAATAGGATGTAATGTAGTGTTATCATTAGGATGTGTTTCATTTTTTTGTACATGAACGACATAAGGTGCTATATCCTCGGCATTGTACAAAGTTCTGCTTAAAGTACTGGGTGGAGAAGCAGGTTTAACAGACTCGGTATTGTTTACAACTGGTATTGATACTTGAGTTTGATTCTCATCTTCAATACATTGACAATCACTATCTTTAATTTTAGATTCAAGACCCTTGGTGTGCCTCCTTCGTTTTTTATTGCAATGTTTGCAAATGCGACGTTCACCACGTACTCGCTTACGTTTAGAACTTGCAACGCTAGAACCATCTGTGTCCATACTAGATTCACCCAATATATCAAAACTATTATTGAATGGAATAGTTATATTTGCAGACACCTGGGGGTTGTCCCCCCAGGGTCTATAGGTGGATCCATAATGTTAATATAGGTAATTTACTTACCAATATTTACAGCAACAAACACTATTACTACAAAATATACAATTAAATATACAATCTAATACACAATATATAAAAAAGACTAATCCTTATATAAATAAAAATAAAATTAATTTAAAGAAGATCAAAAAACACTCCCGCTTTTTTAAACGTTTTTTTTTTTCTAAACAGTAGTTAGAGCTATTTTAATAGTTCCTTTTTTAAGGTATGTTACGCGATGACATTGTCAGTTCTGAATGAATTTTAAAAGTTTAATTTTGGAATGGAAAATTTAGTGTAGTAGAACACACTATTTCGAGTTCCAAATTCAAATATTTTCAAACGAATGAGTTTATGAAGTGTAGAAATAGTTCGCTCTTAGCGATAAGGCATTGTTTTCTCAGTGTAATATTTTTCTTGTAATTGTTTGTAGTTTACTATTGTAATCTTATGGAGGAAACAATAAAGAGTATCTATCTATCTATCTATCTATACTGGAGACGATTACTTTTTTACAATCAAATAGGCCGTCAAGTTACTTGTTATTCCAAGCTGCATACAAAAAAAAATACCGACACGGAGGCACACGCCACATTCGTTTTAATTTTTCCCATCATATTTTTTAATATAACCGAACCTCAATATAAAAGAACGTTTCGTACTTGCCTGCCTTTGTCTATTCCTCCGGTGATCGCGTAGGAACGTAAAGTACCTGATAATTGGATAATTTCTAGACGTATATGGACAAATTGTGCTTTTACTAACACCGGCGTTTCTGTCTCATTCACACCTTCATTAGTCGAGTGAGATGAATATAATGGTGTTTAGTGTTTTGTATTCTGTTGTATATGGAAGCTAATAAGAAGGTGCGGTAATTGGAATTTAATAGTTTTTATAATCTTTTATTAGTAAAGGCACAGACAAAATACTAAAAAGCTTTAGTCGACGGAGGGCATGTTGTCCCTTTGCGTTAGCCGCGTACTTAAGCGTGAAAATGGCATGGTTACTCCGCCTGCCCTATCGGTATTCACTAGCGGGGTACCAGTGAGCGGTGATAGGTGAGGATGAAAAGGCAGGTCAGTTAGCCTATTGTGACGAATTCAGTGATGAATTGGTCACGATAGTTTCTAGGGGGAACCGCATGCAGGTCGACCTGATAGGGTATATTGATAGCAATGGGGACTACACTCCCCATTACTAACAATCCCTTCCCCCCTTAGCTGCGTACTAGCATGGTTACATGGGTGTTGTAGTTCTGTAGCATGAAAAACAATGCGTTTTATTTTTACGGACAAAAGTATACGCCGAGGATTGTCCATCGTGAATTGTATCCGAGAAAGAAGTCCATAGTCGGTCATTTTAAATAAAAAAAAAATTAATAGGTACGTTAGAATAATAAAATTTATATTTATTTTTTCTTTTTCAGGCACGATTCCCACATCGTCAAAGTTAGTCAAAGAAACTGAATGTACTTCCACGCAATTATTATTCCAGTAAGTATGTGCTTTAGCATACCATCCACATCTAGGACGTATCCGCTACTTTATACATATTTTCCGCATTATATAAAATTCCTCAGATTATTTAAGTTGATTACCACCCACCGTGGTGCAAAAGTAAGAAAGTCATCTTGCATAAATGAGTCTCGAGTTCGAATTCTGCTTGGACCAATTTAGGAAAAATCTGAATTGGCTATTTCAAATTCATAAATAAGGTATAATATATAGGGCAATTGTGTAATGGTGAGATTTTTAATAATATAGTATATAATAATCTATACTTACAGTTTTACCAGAGAGAGACTGAACAAAAATTGTTTGCTTGGGTACCTCTGTCCCATTCTTGTTTCTACCATGAAGCAATTGTCTTCATGGCTGTGTTTTGGTTTGAAGGGTGGGATATGGCCTGAATTTACACGATACAGAGGAATAACACAGAAGTCCTCAGGAATGGCAACATATGGGAGGTATCATTAGCGAAACAGTATACTCTGTTATGTCCATGGTACTACTCATGTCTATAGGCGACGGTTCCATTGGTTGTTTGCTATTCTAAGTTGCATAAAAAAAGCAAACGATTGTTTGAACGCGCTAATCTCTCGAAGTACCCAGTTGGATTTGATTTTTTTGTGCATTTGATTGCTCATTAACTTATTAGGTCATTCAACATCACGATATGACTATAGACGAATCCGCGGATTATAGCTAGTATAATATACCTACCGACCTCCCGCCCCCCCACTAGATGGAGTGACGATCTCAAATGCATTGCAGAGACTCTGCGGATGCAGGTGGCTTAGGACCGTTCTTCATGGCAGTCTATGGGCGAGGCCTATGTTCAGCAGTGGATGGATAATGGCTGAGATAATGATAATTATTTTTTTCATTTCAAGTCCAGCCATCAGGTGCCGAAAATTAAACTAGGGCCAGATCTCCGCAGTGCAAGGAAACCAAAACCACATCAGCAGAAGTAAATATTGTTAACGTTACTGGCATTGAATTATTTAACTATTATATTTTATAACTATTAAAAAACAGTCTACTTATTTATATGTATTTGCATACATAATCACTAGATGGCGCTGTCTCTTATGACCAGTGTAATTTATAAATTAAATTAAACACTATTTGTATAAGTCATCGCATCATCGCATCATCGCATCATCGTCATTATATTAGTCGTTAACTGTTTACTGCTGAACATTGGTCTACCCCTATTGGGGTTTTGGCTGGCCACGCTTGGCCACCTAGGGTTGGCAACCGCAGTTAGGTTTTGGTGTTATTTTAAGAGGAACGCTGCTGTCCATCCCTCGACCATATTAAGTTCCCTTAGTTACACTTACGACATCCACAGGAAAGGAAGGGCATTATTTCTATAAGTTTTTTTTTTTTATTTATTTATTATTTGACAAAAATCACAAAGTTACAAATACAAAATACAATAGGCCTCACAATAGTGTTTATCTAGTTATAACATAAATTTAATTAGAAATAACTTAAATTAGTAATAACAATTAAATTTAATTACTAATACAAACAAGTAATAAATTACATTAGTAATAACATAAATATTTATTTTTCTAGATTCAAACAACCAACACAACAGCCGATTCCGCAAACACCACACGATCTACCCCACAAGCAGTTCCTATCGCCTCTCATACCCTTCCCCGTAGCGCACAAGCCCACAGAAGCGGACCTGAAGAATTTTCTCCTAAACACGGCACTACAGAACGCTCTAACAGGCTCTCTAAGCCAATTAACACAACGGAAAACATTCACGAAGCCAGCTGAAAATGAAAATATTGAAGTTAACAATGAACAGAATAGACGCCGTCTCCATAAATGCGACGTGGCCGGGTGCCATAAAGTATATACGAAGAGTTCGCATTTGAAGGCGCACAAACGAACGCATACAGGTATTTTGTTATTATTAACTTTGACCTTAAAGTGTACCGTCCTTTAGTAATGTTAAATCATATCAAATTTCAATAAAATTTATCTTTTAACCATTTTTTGCCCGTAATGAAAATCGTCTGTTAAAAATTCCATGTCGAACTAAATTTCAAACAGAACTTTAGAAAATATTTAGAGGATCAACAAAACAGTTTCGAGTTGGGAAGAAGAATTCGTGTCTCCAACTAACGGTATACGCTGGTGAGGCATCAGTGGGACATGATATGTGAGGATGAATGCAGGTCCGTTGATCCATCGTGACGAATTGAAAAATTAATCACTATGATTTCCAAAAGAACCTGGTGGAGGTCGACCTAATAGCGTATATTCCTAGCAATGGAGCTGTTAGACCCCAATACTCACAATCCATTTCCTCACTCCATTCCAGTTAGATTAGCCGATTTTCTTTTTATTTTCATGGCTTTAAAACTATTGCATTTCAGGCGAGAAGCCCTACTCGTGTGCGTGGGCGGGCTGTGAGTGGCGTTTCGCCCGCTCAGATGAGTTGACTCGCCACACCCGGAAGCACACTGGCCATCGACCTTTTACCTGCCCGCTGTGTCGACGGTCTTTCGCCAGGTCTGACCATCTTGGGCTGCATATGAGACGACATTAGTTGTTATAACACTAGCTCTAGTACTACCTGAGAAATAGGATGTGCGAATTTAAGTCTTAAACTTTTAAGGTCTTTTGGTTCAATTTAGGATTCTGTACCTGTGAAGTTTACTTGTATGTGTAAAGTATTTTGCAAACGAAAAATATTTGTAAAGGATAAATATGCAAATTTAACTCTTATATGTTTAAAAGTTTTAGGTTCTTTTTATTTTGACAACATAGTGTGATAATGTCTCACTATCTATCTATGAAAAGAGCATTTCCCGAATGCGAAATATAAAAAATTATAAAAGAAGTATATAACGTATTCGTGATTTTGAATTACTCAGGACTTACAATAATGATATTATCTCATTGTACTCGCAAGATATATTCTACTCCCATTCCCATTATTCTCCATTAGCTGTCGTCCTCTCTATTCAATAAATTTTAGTGTATTTCATACATATTATTATTATGAAACTATGAATCTCCATTATTACCACACGCTTTTTGTACATGACTTCTCTTTTGTAGTATTTTAATTTAAAGATATTACAATTAATTTGCTTGAGAATACAATTTCAATTTTAAGCACCATTCACACAGTCCCAGATCAAAGTTTTCTGAGCCCTGACCATCAGAGCTTAATAATCCGTCAAGGACATTCTGTTTGTTACCAATGTTCGCACATCATTAAAATTTTGTACTCGTGTATTGAAAAATTAATGATTAATGCAAATTTATCTGTATTTATCATCAAATAAGAATAAGTGTTCATTATCGTCACTAATGCGCAAATAACATAGACACTTACGGTAAAACAACGTCCCTTAAATATTAGTGTTGTCTTTATAATGCAGTCAATCGTTGAGAATAAATCATTATCTTTTTGATTAATCGTATTTATGGACCACATTGTCTTTGTGTTCGCTCAGTATAGTGTGGTCACATGTGCTATAATAAAATGTACATATACATATGTGTGTGAGTGTGAAGAAGTTTATATAAAATGTACGCATGCAATTTTTTTCCTGTCCCTGACGGAAATCTAAGAGGTGTGTGAACAGTACTTTACTCACCAGTCCTGTGAATTGATTTATATCACTGTTTTATATTGAAACTTTAAGGATCAATATATTGCAATTGTAATTGAAATTCATGCTTTATACCATACACATATAGCATAATCAGGTGGATTTACAAATTGTGCGAATTTATTACTGGAATTTGAATCTCAAGTAACTCTTATTTTGTGCTCTCAAATAATCCCTTTTATGTTGTGTTGTGTGTTTATTTAGTAACGTTATCCAACCTAAATTTCTCTAATTTGTGTTATTATTAAACTTAAGGTCATGTAGTAGTAATTATTGGGAGATTACAAAAACTTGAATCTCAAATGGATATCTGTAGCTTTCTACATGTGTCTATAATTTTTTTTTTGTTACAATAATAGAATGGCAACGTGATTTTTAATATCGATATACACTGGTGGAGCACCGCAGTTAATGGGGCCGCTAATCCTCATTACTATCAAAAGTCATACTATAATTGTAATGTTACATTTTTTTTTTGACGTTACACTTAAAGGCCAGTATTTTAGGATTAATCTTCCGGAACTTCACTGAATCCTGAATAGCCAATATTTATACCATTTTCCACATAAAGCTATCTGTTTCAGCAATTCAACTTGCGTTACGTTTAATATATAATGTAATATTACGTTTATAAAGCCAGTATATTAGATTTACTCTTTCTTACGCACTACTGAAAATCTTTAGTGTTCCTTTTATTGTCTACATCGCTATTTTAGTAACATTACCTAGCATTATTAACTTAAGGGCCAGTATATATAAAACATTTATTAATATAATTATACGTAGAATTACATTCAAGTGTGTATTAATTTAAAATCTATTATAGAAAACGTATTTTTTGAGGTGTTTAAAGTGTACTTAATATAATTTTAAATCATGTTATTAATTAATGAAGAATCTAGTTGTCAACGTTAGTAATATGTAAGAAAATAGTTATAAGAGAAGATTTCGAAAATGGCGCGCGTGCATGGGATAAGACTATAAAATATTATATTATAAAATCTTAATAATATAATAAAATTGTAACGTCTGTACATGGAAAACGTTTATGAAAACAATATGTGAGCGGTCTTAATGAAAGCAATAAAAGTCGAAACAATAATTATTAGACATTTTCTTTGTATGAATATTAATTTCGACTTTACGCAAAAACTACAGCGCACACAGTTGAATGGGGTTTTCACTGTTGTGTTCCTGAAAGTCTAACTTATCTTGATACGCCATCTATAATTGGTATATTTAAGCAATTTTACTACTTCTTAAATTCACGCGTACAAAGTTGCGGATAGAAAGCTAGTATTCTATAGAAAGACTGCAAAAATTTGGAATGGTCTTTTTTATTTTTATTTTTTTTGCAAGAAAAGATGTTTTAGGTATACTTTGTTAAGGATTATGAAATAACGTATTATAAATTCTTACTGATAAAGATTCTGTTCAGACCAACGCAATTCTTATTACATACATATTTTTACTTTGTCATTTTTTTTTCGCATCCCGTAAAGCTATAAAGGTCATCTTCGGCCAACAGCATGTACGGTTAGAAAAAAAAACAACTTATTATTTTTATTTACATAATATAATGTAGTTGTTCAATTATTATTATTTTTTTATAGAATTTAGTGTAAGAGTGAATTGTGTAATTACGTATACGTTATATTTAATATACGATACCTTTGTATAGTCTAAGATTATGAGTATGTATAATTATAAAAATGCTCAAACACGAATGTTCCACAATGTGTAAAATTTAGTAATTATACAGGGCAATTACGGCAATATTAGTATAAAAAAAAAAATTATTTCCTATTAAAAAAGAAATATTATAAATATAGGAGATATACATTTATTGTTTTGTTTCAAATGTTTATAAGATATTGGGTAGTATGGCAAAGTTTATTATTATTATATTATTATGAAATATATAATAATTAGTTATACACTAGTTTTAGGCTAAAGTTAAACTGAAAGTAATTTTGGGGCCAGTATTTTTGAAATTACATAGTAGAAATAGAAATAGAATTATTTAAAAATATCTATAGTAGTGTTTATTTCTCTCTGAAAAAAATTGTAAGAAATTATAGAAAAATAATTAGTAAAAATTATGTAATTATTGATCTCAAATTGGGTATTCCTTATTTTTTTCCTGTTTAATTTGTGAGTGTTGATCTCAAATGAATTTACAATATACTTTTACTTATTGTGGTAAATTAACAAACTGTGTATTTGTAAACTAACAATAGAGTGATATTTTGACATTCGTCATAATTTTAACTTATCTTTCGTTTCGTGCGCAATATATTATATTTTTAATGAAGCTGTTATATTTTTCTGGTGAATTAATAAAATTTAATTATATCTTCGATCTGAAATTTCGTTTACTTCTTAGATAACAAAAAGTTCAGTTTTTATTTATTTATAATTCTATACAAATAATGATTTTAAAAAGAGAATTAATACAAGTGAGAAGTGAAACTAATAACATCAGGAATGAAATAGTCTGCTTATATTAAGCAAGTTAACATAGCGCTTATGTTTACACCGCTAATGGTTGAGAAATAAATTTTGCCTGCCCTGATCTGAGATTGTAGTGTATTTTTCATTTTAAACCAGTTGATCTGACAGATATCCTTCAAAAATATTTGATGTGGCAATTGGGAACTATTTAGAAAAAAATAAGGGCTTTTATATTTTTAGGCAGTTTATTTCTTATTAAAAATTTCGTAAGCACACATTATATTTTAATGTAATAACTACCGGTTTAACTTACGTGTAATTAGATCAAGAAAGCTCGACTAGCTAGTAGAAGCGTGCAATCAGGCTCGCGCTCGCATCACAGCCGCTCATGAATAAGGATCACGAAATAATCTCGAAACTAGTCGAGCTTTTTCGGTCTAAATTTTGTTCTCGAATTTTGCGCTTAGCAACACATGTAACGGTTCATTTTTATTTTAATGTAAATTTATGTACAATTTGGTATCTATAAAATACAACAATATTTATCAATAAGGAAAATAAAAACATGAATTCTGATTGAAAAATATCACTCAGCAAACAAAAGTAGTACTTATGTCATAATGTATTATATTATACTTAAATAACAGTAATTACTTATCTCGCATTTTACCGGCCAGTAAAAGAAAATGCAATTTTAATATAGATTCCTAATTTTTTTATTTCTTTTTTATTGTAATAATAAGTTTAATTTTTGTGAGGTGTTTGTCTATAATAATAAATAAAAAATGTGTTATATAGTAGGTATATTGTATAGAAATTTTATCCACTGTCTGATTATAAGTGTGGTCGCAAAATGTGATTTTTATTAATTAAAAAAATAATATCATTATTTTTATATATTGCAACATATGGTGCTGGTCAAGTGGTACTTTTATATAAAAATATACATGTATTTAAAAAATATTGTTTACGTTTCTATTTATTTAGAAAATGTTTTTCTTTTAAATTTTAAAAATATAAGTTTAGGGATTGAAGGGCGCTGAAGATTTGAGACGTCTCCTGTTTAATTTATTCAGTCAAATTATAAAAAAAGGAACGATTTTACATATTTCCATTGGGTAAAGTTGCTGAATTATGTTGAAGACGTAATCAGATATTACCAATCATAAGATGGTACCCTTTTAAAATGAATTAATTAAATGTCAACATTGTTTAACCATTATAAATTCAATTACAAATGGATTTACCATTTGTAATAAAAAGACATATTTTTTAAGTCTGAATGTCGCCCAGATTCCAGACTCATGAAACTTTAAAACGTCACAATTGCTTAACATTGTTATCAGCCTTAACACTGTTTTATGAACTATAATTTGAAAAATTCTCAATAGTTTTGTATATATAAATTTATATTCTTATATAAATCGTTTATAGTCACATATGTACCTACCTATATTTTATGTTTAATAAAAATAAATGCATAAATTACAAAAGTTGTTTTGTTACTGGACTCCAAAATTTAGTAGCTCCTCAACTCGAATTCAATGAAATTAACCAGCCATCCTCAGAACGTCATAGAAATTTAAAGATTATACTCGTATTATCATCAAATACTCAAGTTTTTTTTTTAATACATAAATATTCATCAATATTATTCGATGTTTGTTTGAGGCTAGATAACCCGTTAAACGTCGTATTACCTATAACGCCATCTATTAAAAATAGTTTAAAGTTGCAATTCTCATAGAAAATTTTCTATTTTTAGTTTTTAGATTTTCAGTTTAAGTTTAGGTTTTTTTTGACATTTTTATTTTTAAATTACCTCTCAATTACAATGAATGAAATGAAAAGAAATTAATTCGAATAAGCCGGTTTTAAGTTTTAGCTAGACTAACGAATAACAGTTGATTCATATATTATTATCTATATAAGATTATTTAATTCTTAACTTCATGTTTTAATTCTGCAAATATATCTAGTTGTGAAAAAAAAAACATTTATAGCGGCATAGAATAAAAATAAGACCTCTTTCTATGAATAGGACCATTTTCATTTTTATTTTCATCTTTCTGTCAAACAAAACAAAATGTAGATTTAGTTAAAATCACAAAAAAAAAATGTAAAAATATAAAAAAGTATTATTCATAACCACAATGGCGTAAGTAATATGAATTAATTAGTCATAATAAGATAGATAGAAAATTATATATCCAATCAGCGGGTCTACCATGAAATGAAATTCCGAAATTTTGGGATTCAATTTCGTGTTTTTGTCTATACCAAAATCGGACCAATAAATGGAGTTTAACATTTCTTTCGTCATACATCCTATCAGAAATGTCAAAAGTAATAATATTTTAACATTTTTAATATTTCCAAACGGTGTGTATTATGTAAGTTTAACATCAAATTTCTGTTTCGTATGGCACCGAAATTTCGGAAAACATTTCATGGTAGGCCCTCTGGTCTTGGATACTATTCCACCAAGAAGTGTACGAAATCGACATAGCCAAGTAACATAGAAATTTTGTTAAAACCTCAAAAAAATCGTGAAAACATACAAAATTATTGCTTATAAACACAATGGTGAAAATTATATCAATAAATAATTATAAAACGATAGATTAGAAAATTATATATTTGGTCGAAGTAACTAAGAGACCGGTAAGATCGCTGTTACTAAGAACCGATTAATATAGACAGTCTATATGCATTTTTATGGTTTTTCATGAATATCATGACTTTATTCTTTCAAGCTATAAATATTAATGTGAAAATTAATTTCGCATTGTTAATTGTCGCATTAATTGAAAGCCATTATCCTGATTTACATAAATTTTGTTTTTTTCTCATGCATAATTAATGGGGACTTGAAAAACGCATGGCACATTTCTGATTTCTTGTGCTTGGATTGGATTTTTTTTCTCATACTTGATAAATGAAATTGTAATTCCGCTTACGCTATCAGTACACCCTTGCAGGGCACTATTGAGAGATGATAGGTAAAGATAAGCAGGTCAGTGGGCCCAACGTGATGAATTCCACAAAAAAATCTTGGGTATATTGCTAGAAATGGAGCCCTTAGATCCCGTTACTAACGACTTCTTTTCCCCCAATTAAAACTAGAATTAGATTGCAAAAGTTATGGATACTATGTTATAATGTAATTTATACTATACGTTTCCTGTAAATCATAGAAATTTCTCCTATCTAGTTGCGAGGTGTGCCAGCACTGCCAGGAAGCCGTGTCTCGTGAGGAGGGCTACGCTATTCGAGAAGGCTTTAGTTACCACAATAAATGCCACAAATGCTGTTAGTATATAGATGACTATAGCCGTTTGGTCCCGGCATAGAATAGGCCACCCCTTCCTCGCCCGTGGATGTCGTAAGACTAAGAGACGGCGAGGGATGGGCAACAGCGTCCATCTTAAAACATCTCTAAAGTCTAACTGCGGTTGCTAATTCGCCTGTCAAGCGTGGCAATTACTGCCAAAACCCGCCAAGGGGGAGACTTATGTTCATCAGGGGGCGGTTAAGGGCTGATATGATGATGATGATGTGGATAACTAACAATAACAAACATGCTTATGTTACGATCTATACAAGTAGTAAAAAATATGGCCTAGTGCTGTAATGCTTCGCCTGTCTGATAATCACATCTTGACGTAAGTGCACCCACGTAGAACAAGGTCTGACGTAAGCGAATTCCCAGTAGAATAAATACTCAATTTCCACACAATTTGTTGATTTAAATTTCAATCGATTAATGCAGATTATTCGATACCAGTCTGAAGGGGTCAATTTATATATACAATTGGCACACCTGTTTATACTGATTAGTAATCACTAGCTGTACATGCGACTTTGTCCACATAACTGGCTGATATTCATCGACTTGGATAAAAAAGTTGCCTTTTTCTGGCCTGTGTATGTATGTATGCAGAATTTCATGACGATTGGTTGAATCAACAAACTCAATTTTAATGAGATGATAATGGAATGGTAACCCTGCCTGCGCTAACGGTATTCACTGGCGAGGCACCAGTGAGGGATGACAAGAAAAGATCAAGCACGCCTAACTGACCTGCTGTAACGAATTTATATGAATTAATCGATCGATGGTTTCTAAGGGGAATCGCGTGGAGGTGCCCCTGTATATTGCTAGTGATGAGACCTTTAGTCCCGATTACTAACATTCACTTCTCTGCCCAAAAAACTCATTTTTTTTATTGGTGAAAATGAAATGGTAACCCCGCCTGCGCTAACGAGATACGCTGGCGGAGCACCAGTGAAGGGTGATAGATGATAATGAAAACAGGCCAGTTAGCCCATCATGATGAATTCATCAGGAATTAATCATGATGGTTTCCAGGGGAACCGCGAGGAGGTCGACCTGGTTGGGTATATTGCTAGCAATGGGATTCTTAGTCTCCATTGCTAACAATCCCTTTCCCCCCAAGACCCAACAAACTCATTGACATATTAGTTTGGTACAGATTTCTAGACATTATAAGCTATCTATTATCTACACGCCAAGTCACTTAGGTATCTACATGGTAAGCAGACAAACTATCAAAATTAACTTTTATATGGCCAAAACACATCAATTTAAAAATAATAATGCATGAGAAGTAGCATTAGATTGCAAAACTTATGCTACTACGATATGTGGCTCATTTTAGCTATTTTGCTATGAAACTTCGTCTGTACGTTACAGCAGGTTTTTCTGATGTTCATGATGCTATTCATATCTAAAGGTGAAGGTAAACACTTTCCATTATCATCATCATCATATCAGCAGTTAACTGTCCAAAGCTGAACATAAGCATTTCCCATAAGGGGGTTCTGTTAGTAACTGCCACGTTTGGCAAGCGGGGTGGCAACCGCAGTTAGGCTTTTGATGATGTTTTGAGAGGGACGCTGCTGCCCATCCTTCGGCCATTAAGTGACTTACTTTCCATTATATGTGAATTTATTTTTCATTTACGATTGCATAAAGTTACAACTACAGTCTGTTTCAATGTAAATTAATATAAAAAGTAATAAGTTTTCATTGAACATTTACTGTCGTAAGTCGTATTGTAAATATTTATTTCGGTTTTACTTACGTTTTAAATTCGGGGACACCCCGAATTCTATCGGAGTAATGTTTTGTTTCCATTACCACAGAAACTCTCTTTAATAGCCATAAGTATTGAGACTTTTCAAGAAATCTGATTTAAATGAAAGATGAGCTAAAATATTATACAATATAAATCCTGGTCACCTGTTCTTACTTAACCATAACCGAGAGTTGAAACAAATTATATTCATATGTTTTATCAGATGTATGCAGCGAAACAAATCTACAAAATGCGGAGGTGTTCAAAGGTGTGATATTTTGCTCAAACTGCTCGAAGCGGATCTTCCGAGGCTGTTCCATGGTGCGGCGAATGAAGAGCGGGAATCGAGCCAAATCTAAAACGAGAAACAAACGGCGAGAGAAGGTTAGAGCACAGGTACCTTCCCCCTCGTCGAGTGAATAGGAATTTAAGGATACATATGTTACCGTTATCGCATGTTTGTGATAAAACAAAACAAATTCTCAAATGCGTGGCAAAGTAAACATATCTACCCGTACATTCAATGCCATTCACTACAGTCTAGGAAAGCTTACCACAATTTCACTTATGAATAAAACAAAACCATCTACTCCCTATCTGCAGAGATTGTATAACTCTTACTAGGGCTTTTTTTTTGTAAACGCATATCTACTACGTACTTATAACCCGAGAGAGGGAGAGGGTTATTTGTAATGTACCTTGTAATGTACCTCTTGAAAACAGACCTTACTTTATCTTCATCTATTATCTCACACTAGTAGCCCGATTGTGTATATTGATAGTATAGATAGAGTAGAATAAAATAATATAATAGAGATAGAATGGAAAAGGCAAAATGCTGGGTCACTTTATACGACGAGATGATTTTAAAAGAGCATAGTATAAGGAAAAGTAGAGGACAAAAGAGGAAGAGGAAGACGGAGAAACAACTACATGGGACAGATAAAGAAAATGCTAGGTCAAAGATATTGTCTGGAATAGAGTTGGTTGGAAGAGAATGCATAAATTAGTTGCACAAATAAAAGGAAAGTCTTAAGAAGATAGAGTATCTGTATTATCTGGTATAGACGATGTTCCTCCATTCCACTTTCATGTCTTGAAAAAAATTTAATATAAAAGTAAGTACATACATATGTAGACAACTTTCTAGAGTTTACAACTTACAGGATATAAATGTAGCTCAAAGAAATACTCGCCCCATTAAGGCAGTCCTAGAACTGGCCAGATTAACAGCTTCGACCGACACGGACAGCAAAAGTAATTTACAACAAGAGACAGACAAAGAACCTTGGATATTAAGGTAAAAATGCATTTAATTTTTTATCTATTTATTTTACTTGCTTTATCGATAGACGTTAGCAAAAAAAAAGAGATGGGTAATATGGGATATCTACCTATATATTGAGTTCTTCTGGACATGGCAGACTGCAGTACACTCAATGCGATATCACACATACCAGTTGGATATTCATTACAAGCAGGTTCTTCGATATTATATATTGGTAAACCGATATCAAATATATATGTTATTGGACCAAGATATATACAGATATTGTAACTACAAGATATAAATATTGCTATATATTATCCATGCTTACAAACAAGGTCATTGTTTCAAATGGAAAGTGGTAAGTGTTATCGTCACCACAGCATGAACAAAACCATAAATGATGCTATAAAAATGTAAAATGTCTTAAATATACCAACTGTATACTTTTTTTGTGTTTGGTTTTTGTTTATGGGGCCCAATGTCAGTCGCGGTTGCGTTATCGGTATACGCTCGCTTCTGTCGGGTTGGAGTTTAGGGTTAAGGAGTGTGGTTGTGGGTTTGGAAATTTTATTCGTAGGTTTTGGTGTGGTATTTAGGAAATAAAGGGGTTTGGGAAACAACTGTATATTGGGTTTTATTATGTTTTATTACATCTATAGTCGACAGTTACTAATTCCATTGGCTTGCCAATCAGGCATCAACTTGTTTGTTATTTTAAGTTAAGTATAAAGAAAATCACGACAACCTACAAAAAATGATGTCAAAAACACATAGTGTAATTATGTGACACCCCTATCCTGAAAACATTAAACATGGTTTAATTAATTTAGCAATTAATTATTTTTTTACAAATACTATGCACAACAGTAGGTACATTATATAATTGTTCACGACATTCTTTGCCACTTTAGAAGGCTAAGATTAATTCACTTTGTAGATACCTACATGTCATAGCGTGTATTTCTATATTGCATTTGGTATCGCATACGTGGCTTAGTATTTTTTGTGATGTTGTTGTTCATGTAATTAAACATATAATTACCATTTTTTTATTTTTTTAATGGATGATAACCGCATAGTAACCCCGCTTGCGCTAACGGGATACGCTGGCGGAGCACCAGTGAAGGGTGATAGATGAGAATGAACAGGCCAGTTAGCCCATCATGATGAATTCATCAGGAATTACCTATGATAGTTTCCAGGGAGAATCGCGAGGAGGTCGACCTGGTTGGGTATATTGCTAGCAATGGGATTCTCAGTCTCCATTACTAACAATCCCTTTCCCACCCAGGGAAGTCAGTTAGCCCGTCGTGATAAATAAACCTATAATTCAGCACGGTGATCGTAGAGGTCGGCCTGACAAGGGTATATTGCTAGAAATAGGATTGGTAATCCGCATTACTAACAATCCCTTCCCTCCTCACCATCTTCTATTAGGTAGGCAAAACAAAAATGTATACTAACTATATATATTAAACTAGCTCTTACCCGCGACTTCATAACCGGATTACGTTCACTGATCGAGAGACAAAATTAGCCGATGTCCTTTTTTATCCCATATAGTACATGAATACCTAGTGATTTGTTAAACTGTTAAGGAGTTCAGAGATAATAAACTCACTTTCACATTTATAATATTAGTAAAGATTAATGAAATTTTGTTGTACCTCATCTTTATTAATTTTTTTCAGCAATACACCAGCAATGACCACAGAATTCGCGCTTCAAGTTGACAAGCAAATACATGATCATGTGAGTGTAACAAATCATCCTACATTGTAGACATTGTTTGTCTGGGACTCAAAGATATTTAAATACTTAATGTTCCATTTGAATTCAGTGATGTACTGCAAATAACTGGTTTGTATATCTATCTGGTTGTCATGACAATAATAATCTTTCAAAATTCGATGAAATCTAAGTAAGTTTTTATGAAAAGCCAGCTGCCCACCGCGGCTTGGCTTCGTGTGTACTAATGAAGAAAATTACGCCAAATTTTTTCTATATTTTACCCAAATCATTTTCTTTATCATAGGTTTTTTAAATATTTTCTTTATCCTCACTCAATATTACTTCATTAAATTTATATATGAAGTAAATACAGCTTTATAAAATAATGCTCTAACTTTATAAATGCATTGCTCAAGATGGGAAGACAAGTAAAAAATTTTGATAGGCATTGTTATGCTGTAGCGTTTAAAATCATGCTCGTATATTGTCTTGTCATCTTAGCACTATTACTGTGCTACATTGTTAAGTTTCGTGCGAACGAGGTAGATATAATCTAAAAACAGTTGGATTTAGAATAATTTATTGTGAGTTATACCTGTATCTAATGGAGAGAGAGATCCAGATTATGCTTTGACTAACCAGAACTAAGAAAAGCTTTTGTCAATAATTTATTTACTAAATTATTAAAATCTCATATAGGCAATTAAAATAAGTGCTTTATTTACTGTCCATTCAAATTAAATTCAAATCATCTCTATTCAAAATAGACTTGTTTAGAAGCACTTTTAAATCGTAATTTTTTAACGTAACCCATTTCCTTCTCTATTTCATTTAAATATATGTTATATGTATGCCAAATTTCATGATAGTAGATTAACCTGTAAAAAAGATAGAACTAAGAGATAATTAATAAACAATTTTTGTTAAATGTAAATAATTTAAGTAAGGATATATTCGAATTCAAATCATCTTTATTCGAATAGACTTGTATACAAGCACTTTTAAATCGTAATTTTTTTATCTATTGCAAGTTTGGAAGGTTGTTATCTGTTAAGAAGAGCCCACAAGAAACTTAACAGTTATTCTTTTAAATCTCTGTTAATTATGTGTATTTATTTAAATGTATGTATTTTAATTTAGATAATAAATATAATAATTAAAATAACTTATTTTAATGAAAAAAAAAATAACTAACAAGAATTGTACAAATTGAGGTTTCAAAAACACAATATATTAACTCTGCACGGCAGGTATAAATGGATAAATTACCTCTTTGTAAAACTTATTCTTACAGAATTGGACAAATTGCAAAACACACAGCACCGGTGAGTTTCTTATATTTTTTTGTTTGGTGGGTGAAAATGATATGGTAACCCCGCCTGCGCTAACGGGATATGCTGGCGGAGCACCAGTGAAGGGTGATAGATGAGAATGAAAACAGGCCAGTTAGCCCATCATGATGAATTCATCAGGAATTAACCATGATAGCTTCCAGGGGGAACCGCGAAGAGGTTAACCTGATTGGGTATATTGCTAGCAATGGGATTCTCAGTCTCCATTACTAACAATCTCTTTCCCCCCGAGTTTCTTATATTAACAACCTAATACAAATTATCTGTATATCTAATTGAATTATCAACTTAAATTTTATCAACGAACTTACAAGTTAATATAGGGTTTAAATTAACCACTTATCAAATTGTTTACACCTAGTCTTACAATCGAAATTGTCCTGTAAGAGTAAATTTGAAGGTACCTACCTACATAAAGTTTTAACTCCTATGCTATTTACTTACTTATTTATTTTCTTATTTATTACAACAACTAGATGAGTTTAACAGTCTTCCAATACGCTCACCCAGGAATTGTAATGTCTGATGAGATAATGCTTCATATTGTCAACATTAGTTGAAATGGATTTAAAAAAATATAAAATATTAAAATATATACTTTTTTTTCCGTGATTTCACATAATACAAAATACAAAATTATTGCCATCTTTTTATAAGTTTTCTTTAAAAATATTATATAATTGTATAATAAGCTCGAATTCAATGTTCATTCATTTAAAAAAGTAAGCCGAATCCAATAGCTTTACAGACGTAAATAAATTAGATACCTAAGAGTTTATTATTGTATATTTCATAAAAACTAAACAACTTTTTTTTCTATAAATCTATTTTAATTATTACAGTTCTGTTAATTTGGAAATTAAGCGCAAAAGAAATGAATATTTTAATTTTATTTTAGGGCATTTTATTTTTATTTTAAGCTAAAATAGGTTTATGAGACGCTTCATGTTTTTCCGAATAAGTGAGTAAATATTTTATGTTGCTGCTCGCATTAATATAAAAAAAAAAACTTTCAGAAATGGGTTTGACAACAGACGTGACACAAGAATTATTAAGGCAAATGAAATGTCCCGTCATCGAAGACTGTAAAAACATGTAAGTGTCTAAGTTACTTACATCAAAAACCTTATTATACACTCTATTATTACATACATTACATATTAATCTGCTCTCTATAACCACAAATAACATTGAGATCTTTTGTAAACCCAAAAGTTTACCATTCTGTTCTAATAAACTTCCTTTTGAATTTGAATTAAGACTGTTTTTAACGAAGCATGACAACGTCGCAATTATTTGTCCATTTTCAAAATCTTACAAAGTTGTATAAGTATTCTCTTTTGCTCTATTTCTCAAAATTTTCTTATCGATATTTCAGTATGAATCTTTCTTCACTTAAAGCGCAAGAAAAAGCAGAGAAACATGTAAGAGAAATAATTTGTCATTATCATCATAATTTCAGTCATTCATAAGCCTATTGGTAAAGATAGTCCTCTCCTGTTTACTGCCATATGAAACGGCCCTAAAACTCCCGCATTCATCCTCCGTTCTTCGTCTTATCATCTCTATATCACAAAAAATAACCCTTCTGAAATCTTTTTTTATTTTATTTGTTCTATCTAAAAGCACGTATTGAATAACTTAATTATTCTTTATCTGCTAATTAAATTTTAATTTATTTATTTTCAGAGCAAAAAAGATTGCAGCGACTTAAGAATCGCAGGTAAATAAACAATTATCTAAGTATCAGGAGCATAGGCCAATAATAGACGTTTAACTTTGCGTAAATTGGGCATGTGATCGATTCCGGTCGGGCCAGAGGAGATTTAAAAAAGGAACGTATATGAAATTAATCAGGTTTGAGTATTCTGAGTTGTGCTGCTTAAGTTTTGCCATCGGTCTTATATAAAATGTAGAAAAAATATTGGGAAAAGTATTCTATTATTTTTAGAACTGGGAGCGTCAACAGAAATTGCTCATATGGCATTGAGAAAGAAGTCTGAAGTACCAATCCTTATAAAATCCGAGTGAGTTCTATATATATACACATTACATTAGATATAAATAACGTAGGTTAGTTGATTAGAATTATTTTGTTTAATTCCGCTACCATTAGTATTTGTGCCACTGCCAACACTCAAACAATAGTAGTCAGTTTACGAGTGTTGGCAGTCACACTTATAACAATGGTAGCGGAATTAAACGAAATAATTCTAATCAACTAAACAGAGATATAGACTTCCGCAAAATAACACCAAATTTAATAAAATAAATTGCTTTTTTTATATATTCCAGTCACTTTATTTAAATTAGTAGGTGTACACATGTAGGTGGTGAATCAAAAGCATTAGCATCCTTTTACAAAAGTTCTCTGTTAGTATAACTGAACACTTGTCAAAGATATATGTATATAGATCTAAGAGCACGACGTGTTCAGACTTCAAATTAACATAGTACTTGAAAGTTGAAAGTAAAGAAGACAAAATCTTTTCACGTAGGTATTTCGACTCGTTTTCTTAGAAAAAAATGTTTCTTTGGTAGAACACTCTCATAAAAGAATTAATTTCATTTACATCTATTAAGTACCACGAAGGTACAGATTATATATTATATGTATTCCAAATATTTACTGCTAAACATAAAAACGATGTTAACTCAGGACCTCAAATAACTTGACATTTGCTCCTATTTGAGTAATGTTTTTCAATTTCTTACTATTTACATTTTATTTTCAGACTACCATTGAAATGCACGAAATCTTTAAATATGTCAACGTTAAACCAAGAATCAGGTTATTATCTACTCTTTCAATAAGTTTATTAGGTACAAAAATCTCGAGTCTCTAAATGAAAATAATTTTCCATTATCAGTCCGCTCATGTAATGTATACATCTAAACTTAGGTGGATTTCTAATTTACGTTGGGGGATTCCGAAGGATAGGGATAGGTGATAATACTTTCTTCTCTGTTTTACTTTTATTCCAGATATTTCCGATGATGTCACTACCGACTGCATGGTGTCTACATATCGATTACAGAAATCTGCTAACTTGTACGTGATATAACATTTTGTTTCCTTTATTTTTTTACCTCTATTACACCGGGGGAGGAGATTATTAGTAATGTGGATTACTAGTCCCATTGCTAACAATGTACCCTATCAGGTTGACTTCCACATGGTCCCCCTGGAAACCATCGTGCTAAATTCCAGGTGTATTCATCACGATGGGCCAACTGACCTGCCCTTTTATTCTCACTTATCATCCCTCACTGGTATCACGTCAGCGTATACCATTAGCGCAGGCGAGGTTACCATTCCATTATCATCCATTAAAAAAAACTATTACACATAAAAATTTATAGTGACAATTAGAAATTAAAACAAAGTCGAATATAATTAATATCAAGCTGTAAAATAGACATAAAAAGATAAGTACAAAAAGTGGTCTTATCGCTAGGATCGCCAAGCGCACTACATAATATATAGTCTAAGTATATAGTATAGTATAATATTTCAGATTCCCGTTGAATTAATATATAATACACAAAAAGACTATATTTCAGTAGCTAATATATAATAGGCATTTACAAAAGGAATATTTTATATTATAATAAACAAACAATTGTTTTAATAAATATTTTTACTATTTTTTACTTTTTTATAATTTATTTTAAGAAATACTATAATCAGCCGAAAAAATGTTGGCAACCCCAAGTGCCACCCTCACAAGACTAGTGGTTTGTCGAGTTTTCCTTGTTCTGCACTCATGTTGCTTCGTTGCTGTAGTCGCCTCTCATTATTGAAGCTGATAACCTCAGCCAAAGTCCGAAACAAGTGAACACCCTCTGCCTTATTATTTCCTTCGTTCTTTAATTTATACATTTTAATTCTTCACAGGAATTGTCTAGACAGACGCATCCGGAGTATATTAAAAATGCCATACAAGTGCTGTAAGTATATATATATATACATGTAGTCCATTGCAAAACCTAATTAAAATACCATCTTTACAACACATCTATACACTAGATATAGGGTACACGGACATATGGTTTGACTGCACAGTATAATATATCTATTGTACCATATAGCTCAATATATATCATCATCATATCAGCCTTTAACTGTCCACTGCTGAACATAACCCTCCCCTTTGGGGGATTTTACCAGTAATTACCGCGCTTGGCAGGCGGATTGGCAACCGGTAATTAATTTGTTGTTTATTTTACAAAAAAAGACGTTATTAAAAAATATTAACTCTTAATTAAAATCTATTCACAGCTGACGGCTAATATAAAAAAATTTTGAATCTCACCTCCAGAAAAAGATTCTGGTAGAATACGTTGTATAATTTATTGTATAAAATATAAAAAAAATTCTTTTTACAGTTAAGAGAAATATATTGAATCGTAGCTCTTTGATTACTGTCCTAATGAGTAATGAAGGCGAGAAACAGTGAGTATACACAAGTGTTTATTTATTTATTTAAATTAAGCGCACCAGCACGTTACATTACAATAAAAAATATATTATGTACATTATATAGATAGAATTTAGTTAATGGAAGGAAATTTTCTATTTTGAGGTTAAAAATTACTGCATTAAATTAGGCAAGACAGGGCTTTGTAGCCTGCCATTATAACCAGCGTATATTTTTTTTAATACTATCCTTTAAATGGATATTTAGAACATTCAACTAGTGAAATTGAACAATATTTCCAAAAAAAAAAAATTTCCTACCTTTTAGCCTTTTAAACTTGACACTTGGACGGACCATTTTAGTATGGAAGGCTTAAAATTTTTTCACATTATTTCGGCTCATGTTTTGTAGAATAAAATTACGAGTATATTCCACAAAAAAAAAACGATATCAATTGTGGCAATTTATTCGATTTTGATAAAATTTCTATGGGACTAATTTGTAAGTAAAAAAAGACTTTTCCCAAATCTAATTTATAACTGACGGAGTTATGAAGTAAACATAAAAAAGATACAACCGAATTAAGAACATTTTTGAAGTCTCTAAGAAAATAGTCAGTTTCACTTATGGGGCATTTACCTAAAAAGTTAATAAAGGCTTTTATTTCATTATAGGGGTGAAGGGGGGAATTGGAGCCTACTAAGGAAAAAGTTCAATAAAAGGCAAATTTATGGATAGATACTTTAAACCTTTTTACTAAAAACTAAATCCTTACTCATTTGACTATCATTTGTTCACAGCGTTAACGTTACATAATTAGGCATTTGGCCACAAATAAACATTAAAGAAAAAAAGAGAATCGCTCTCATTACCCGACTTTGCGGGAAATGAGAGCCTATAAATTCGCATATGTGTAATGAGAGCTACTTAATTATTAAATCGGCCTCAAAGATTTCTATATCAATCTGAAATCTTACTTATTCATATAAATTTTAATATAAACGTAACCGTGTAACAATTAACTTTAATTATCTAAGCAAAAAACGCAAATATAATCAATTAATAGTATAAATAATAAATTATATTCCATTTTCTAGAGTTCTAGTGAACCGCCTCAAAACGTTATTTCATGAAGAGGTTACGGAACATCAACGTGAGTGATTTTATTATATATTAACTTGTTGTAGATGAAAGAGTTAATAATTTTTTTATTTATTAACTAATTTTGAATTTATCTATTACAAACAAACATTTAAAAAATCGAATCTTTTCTCTTTATATTGCAAATATTAGTTGGGATAAAAAAAATACTAAAATATGCTAATATCTGTTACTATAAGAAATTAATAGGATGGTCAGAGATATTTTGTCTATGATAAATCAAATTAACCGTAGGCAATTCAGCTGAAGGAGAAATAAAAAGTCTTCAAAATCATTAAATATGCTTAAAACGAATTATGATAGTGAATAAAGTAAAAGATTTGTATTACCTGCAAAGACCCTTGGCTCTTTATTCTCTCTATCCACTTTTTAATGAACATTACGTGAAGATCGACAGATTAAGAATTATATTTATTGACGGTATTTATATTAATCGAAATATTAATTGTAAATTTAAATCATACTATAATTATAAAATGTGAAAATTTATAAAGATATTTGTATGCTATTTCAATAACGCTTAAATGGCTAAATGGATTTTGATGAAATTTAGAGCAAGGTAGATTATATCTTAAATTCATAGGTTATTGACGCGGGAAAAACCGCGGGAAACAATCAGTTGTCACATAAATAATATGTATTGAAAATACTTTTAAAGTCCTTCCTTTGTATAAAAGTTTACAAAAGAAAACTTACAAAGTTTAATACCGATAGTAATGATATTATACATGGTTTAATATTTTTCTTCATCCCATTAAAGGTCGTGGCCTAAGAAGATTATACTCTGCAGTAAATAGACGGAAAACACCATATAAATTGGGATGGTAAATATATATATATATATATATATATATATATATATATATATTCTTTATTGCACAAAAACATACAGTAACAACAATAAGTTAATAACAATGTTAGCAATACTACATACTCCAATTGTTTTTGTACGAAATATCTATTAATATATAAAATGAGTCGTGCTGCTGGATCTGCTTATGGATATGGTTGGCTTTAGTTGTTAGTTGTTAAGCATTTAATAATAGTTGTAAGCTATATATATTTCTCCGTACTTATTGTTATACATGTATCAATATATGCTGTTTTTTTTTTTTTTTTTTTTTGATGAGTGAAAGTGGAATGGTAACCCCGCCTGCGCTAATAGAATACGCTGGATACGGAGTACCAGTGAAGGGTCATTGATGAGAATGTAAACAGGTCCGTTAGCCCATCATGATGAATTCCTTAGAAATTAACCATGATAGTTTCCAGAAGGAACCGCGAGAAGGTCAACCTGGTTGGGTATATTGCTAGTAATGGGATTCTCAGTCTCCATTACTAACAATCCCTTTCCCCTCTATATGCTGTGTTTGCCTATAAAAAATTGTTACATTTAGTTCTAAGCTCCATAATTGTATATATATTTAAATAAATTAAAAAAAAAAAATTACGAACTTACTAAAAAAAAAATTTTTCGAACACTGTTTACCTAAACAATGTTTGACAAAATTTCTTTAAGTGATAATTGAAACTATCTTATATTTATTTGTAATTTTACATGCCAAATCGTATGAAGCATACAAACAAACCTAGATAGGTACCTAACACTGGTTTTGCTTTATTGAATTCTAATTAGTAATTTTCAATTTCAGGTTAGATTTAATGGCAAAAGTCTCAGTTACGGGGTTAGTATTTTAGTTTTTTATAAATAATATATTTTTTTTTAATTTTATCATTATCATGATTATCATTAATTTAATTAAAATTTCGTACACAGAAATTAAGTGAATTAATTATTTTTAACCCAAATAAATTTAAGATAAATTCAGACACTAATGAATAAAATGTGTTATGCGTTTTGTAAAAAGTATCTGTTGTTTGGCCTACTTGTAAATAAGTTAATTAATTGCATGACTTTTTCAAAGTACAAGCTGGTACTGAGATCCACAAGAAACTATTTCAATAATGAACATAGAGTTCCACAAAAAAACTCACTTCAACGTTGAAAAAAAAATTCAAATTGGTTTAAAAACTGACGGAGTTATCAGGTAACAAACATAAAAAATACAGCGGAATTGAGAAGCCCCTTCTTTTTCAAGTCGATTGAAAAGGACAGTATTATTGTAGGATCGACATAAGAGTGAACGATATCTATTGTAAAAAAAATTACGAAATCAGTGCAGAAGTGGTGACAATATCACCAGTACAACATAGGTAGTAAAAAAAATATAATCGAAATGAAAAATAGGTTAAACCTATTCAAGTAACAGAAACTATTTTTATTCAGAATTTAATTTTTAATAATTTTATTGTTAAAAGTTTCGTAAATACATTTATATTTTAATGTAATAACTACCGAATTACTTACGTGCATTTTGGTTTTGAATACTACACTAGTTTCGCGACCATTCGGGACCCTTAGTCTTGAACAGCTGTGACGCGATTTAAAATATTTATACATTAAAATATTTTTTTACAGATTAAGCCACAATCGAAAACCTAAAAGGTAATAAGTAACTTTCTTACTTTTTTTATTGTAATAACTAGCTGAGAATTGGCTTCTAACGCCACCTACCGTGTCCAGCGCTGTAAAATAATCTTATTATTTAAGTTAAAGCAAACAATATACGTCCACTGAGGTCAATTCTAGAATGAAACATTTCAATTGATACTGGGAATATTTTGTATGGCCAAAAAGTAAAGTTGGAATTTTTGTTTACTGGACAATTCAATCAATATTTCTCTACGAATTAAAAAAATATAAGCCAATTGGTCCACCCGTTCTCAACTTTTGTGCTTAGTAACACGTTTAACGATTAATTTTGGTTTATGTGGTTAATTTTTTTGCTATATGCTCGATTTTTTACTCTCATTCTTTCGAAATTGGTACTAGGTATGCAGAAAACAGCTATATTACCTGGGCTGTCCAAAAAAGATGGTTATTATCTATGTATCAAAGAACAGGGTGACTAGAATATGTTGTACATAGATTTATTATTATAAAATTATAAAATCGCGTTTCTATTCTTGTACCCATAAGATTTTTCTATGCAACTTAGAATGACAAACAAGCTGATGGCTCACCTGATGGAAAGTGGTAGCTATCGCCTATAGACATGAGCGGTACCATGGACATATGTTGTACCCAAGGATGCTCTATATTCATGGTTGATTTCAAACGCAATCCCACTGCACTTTTGCTTTAAGTTGGGTGACAAATCATTAGATTTTTAGCCAATAAGAGTTCGACAGTATTCACACGGTCCCTAAAGCGTGTATCTATAAAATATAAGTGAAATAAAAATGGGATGTTTTTAAGGTCAAAACTGGGGGGAAGGGATTGTTAGTAATGGGGAGGTTAGTCCCCATCGCTTGATAGCTATGGGGACTAACCAGTTGACCAGATAGGGTATATTGATATATACCCTATCTGGTCAACGCGGTTCCAGGTGGAACCGCATGGAGGTCGACTAATTTATCGTTTAATTTATTGGGCTAACTGACCTACCTTTTCATCTCACTTATCATCCGTCACTGGTGTTCCGCCAGCGTATACCGTCAACGCAGGCGAGAATACCATACCATGGTCATCCATTAAAAAAATGGTCAAAAACTCTAATGTAATTATCATTCTACTGTGGACTTTCCAAAACAATCTATGACAACCGAAAAACCCACCAATTGCTCTATTCCTTTATTTTTAGGTGTCAACATTTCAAAACATCTCATAGCTACCGTTGCATGAGATCCCAAGTGATGCGGCTCGCTGGACCCACAGAAAGCGAGTAAGAATTAAAACGTTTTAATTTGCATTTAGCTCTGGAAACCAGAAAGCGCCGTTTTACTTGAGTAGCAGTAGTACCATTTTTCATTGTCTTTTTTACATATTATTTTCATTTGTGCTTTAATTTTTTTTTTGTTCAGATTAGCGGGGTTCCGAATGAAAATAAAAAAGATACTGATTCCGGTTTCTTTCAAGAATATTCTCGTAAGCAGTAAGTACTATTATGTTTTATCTAAAAGTAGGCATAGTTTTTTTGGAAAGAGTAAAAATTTTTTAACAGTCTTGTAAATGGTGACTCTACCATATTTTTGTTTGTAGTACTAGATAAAGGTTACTTGATATTTTCCCAGATCTTTTTATCTATAATAATTCCATTTTAGTTCTGATGTTATATTTTCAAGTTTGAAGTAAAAATCAACGTTATAAATCAGCTAATATAGGGGATAAATTTCATTCTTATCCGCTCGCATGTTTATTCATAATTAACAAATATTTTATACATATAAACTCGAACTTTTCTTTCTATCTAGTTAATTAATATATCTCTTCATATGGTCGTTACTACAGATAGTATTGTCTGGCGTTCCGGGCATTACTATTTAAACATTTTATATAATATCCCCAATTTGGGGATACGTTAAATAAATTATTTCTTTATAGAAAAGTCTTCTGTTTGTTACAGATAAAAAAATTGCAATCACAATGTCTCAAGCTTGTGGTAGTGAACTACATTAATAAAGTACAATTTAATACAATAAATAAATTAATAAATAATTGATGTGGAAAATAAAAATAAATTATTTTATTTTTTTTATTTATTATTTAATCATGGTTAACCGTTTTAACTTTTATATCGTACGATCCAAAAGTATAACTCGTACCATAAACTTTAATACTAAAAACGTACTTACTAAGGTTTATACTATACTGATGGACCGTCGTTGTTGATTATCTACAAAAGAGAATATCTCAGGTTCCATCCCGAGGTTGGTAAAAAAAAAACAAAGAAACATATAAATGCATATATGAATATGTAATTTCAACATTTGAAGCAATCTTATATACCAAAATGGAAAAAAGAAATATTAGCAGAAATTAACTGAAGACAACGGCTGTATAGACTTAGTCCTTTTACCTTCCCTATTGATAGGGAAAACAAAAATTGTTCTTAGGGGGAAAACAGAATCAAAAATAAATGTTTTGGTAGCTTACTTTCCTTATAATTAAAAGTATACAAAACTATTTGATTTATTATGAATAATTTTCTCCTTTCCCCTTACAAAAAAATAAATTACTGCATTATCTATTTCTTAATGTGGGTTTAACATAGTGAGATTTACGATGCTACTGCATTTGCGTTTACATCGATAGTTTTGTATTGAAAACTTAATTCGCTTCTTGCGGATGGTTTTGGTAACTTAAATTTCTAAAGTTAACATGTACGTAGACCTTATAGAACTAAATAATAAATATGTATCCAAATTTGTTCGAATTAATCTTTAATTTGATCCGACTTTAATAATAATTTTCGTCATTAACTGTCTATAATGTTGTAGGAGTAAATGTTATTTTATTTAATTATCTAATGAAATTCCTGTAATTATGATTTATAAACACGATCTACGCGATCCGTTCATTTAAGACGGAGACAATATTATGTTTTACTATAATAAATAAAATTTATAGTCTCTGATTAAGGTTTCTATGAGATCTATCACTATCGCAATATTAAATGATCACATTCAATCACTGAGATACTTTAGAAGCTAAAACGCGTCAGTTTCCTCATCTTCATACTTATCGTCAGATCTCATCATTCTTTTCCTGCACCTCAAAAAGAAACCTCTTCTCCATAACAGTACAATTAAGAACACCATTGGGAATGTGACGAAGATTCCTGTAAACAAAATATGTTATAAAAATAGAATCTTTAACGTCAAACGCGGACGACTTTTATTAAAAATTGTATTGGAGTGAATATATGTAGGCATATATATACACATGTAGACGTATCTTCTGTAGTACTTTTTATGGAAAACGAATAAAAACTATTGCTCCCTTTAAAGAAAAATGCAATTATATAATTAAGTTGGATTACTCAGTTTCATGTTGGTTAAATTTTCTGACATCGAGTTCATTCTTAATAGGTTTTAAAACAAATGACCAGTTTCAAAATTTCCAATGTAAACTAGAGTATTTAAAAAAATAAAAATTATGGTATATACTCCCTATAAATTTCAGAAAAAAAACGTAGCGAAGCGTAGAATGTAAATTAAATGAAAGTGAAATTTTAAGCTTACCGATCATAATCCCGAGAACTATTGCAGTGTTTGGTCTATTCACGGTTCTCATCATAACCGAAGATGGACATTCTAGCTGCTTCGATATGTCGTGAAGGTAACTTATTGCCTGACTTCTCAACACGGGAGGTTTTCTACAGCTGCCAAAATATATAAAATATATATTGAATCTATTCACTTGAAAGTTCTATCAGCTGCCTTCTCTTTAAAGTGCCATGTTGCTTTTTATACCAGAGACAGTATCAGCTATCTTCTCATTGAAACGAACAGATAAGTCAGCATTATTACATAGAGAAATAAAAATTACCACAGGAGGACAATACAACTACTAAAGTGACTTTATCACACTTATATTTCTGCCGATAAGCTATGCTTGAATTGCGTTTGCTATGTTATGGCACTGATCTTATGGCCTTATACTGTGTGCATAAAGCCATAATATCTTAATCGTCAGGAATGGCACTACTTAATAATGTCTACATTCTGTAGTTTCAATACTATATCACACCTTTCAAACTGATATACAGTCGTAATTTTTTTTTAATTTTATATCGCAAGGGGCAAATGAATATGCGGCTCACTTGATTGTAAGTAACTCCTTACCGCCGCCTATGATCAATCTCAACACCAAAGAAATTGCAGATATGCTGCCCGCCTTTTAAAAAGGTATATGCTCTTATTTATCCATGCAGATGACTTTTGTACAAAGTCTTCCTCCGATATTCTGTTGCATAAAGAATTGTAAAATCGTTAAGAGACAGTTATTCTTTAGATATCTTTATAATATTACTCGTACTTACGTCATAGCGTTATCATCATCTTTGACAATCCTCCTCAACATTGGTACAAGTACATCCACCATCCACTGGTTGCTACAATCACATACGTATGGGTTGTTACTGAAGTTCGCTGCAACCAGCTCGCCCCAATTGACCACATAGTCGGGGCTGATTTCTGATATATTATTGTTGTTTAGGTATAACTGGAGAAAAATTGTTTAGAAATTTTAGACATTTTAGTCTCTCAAATAATATTGTAAAATTCACAATTATCCTATTCAGGTTGTTGTTTTGCAATTATAATTCTCAAAATCTGAAAAACAATTCATTTAGGTATCATATTTCTATTTCTTTATGCTAAATCTTTATCGCAACTTAATCTCATTTTTTGTTTTAATTATATCTTACTATATCATGAAAAATGAACAGAAACACATTTTATGCTATTACCACTTAAAATAATGAATACCCAATCTTCAGAAAAATTCAAATCTCGACAATGTGATTTGGAACTTAGTAGCAAATAGATATAATTAACAGAGAAGTTGTAAGGTTATTGTCAATTTTAATACATTATACATAATTTCTTTTCCAGATATGGCTTCGAGATATGTTGTTACAAATATTGTCATATGCTATGATAAATTATATATTTCTATCACTCGTAGCAAATAGTATCCTATATATAATTTAAATTAACGTATTTATCATCTGGTTCTTGGCACCTATTGATACAATAGTGAATTCCATTACCTGTTTGATCGGAGGCCACTTTTCCTCTTCGTTTTCTTCCCATATCAAAAAATTGGGATCTAGATTCGTTAATTTAGGATTATCAGTAATATAAAGCGAGACTAGATTCGCTAGACCTCCCAGCGCTCCAGGACCTATTGACTGCAGCCTCGTAAAACCAGAAAAGTGGAGTTCTTCAAGCTTGGACAAGTTGGACAAAGCACTGAAAATAATAATATAAATTTTGCAAACCTTCTAACCAGTAGTTAAAATAATTTAATCGACATGGATTTAGATTACAATTTCTCCTACGGATATATATAGATGAAGTTTGCGTCAAATTCCATTTGAAATGGGATTAACTAAAATGTTGGTAGAGTTTTATTTGATTCACTTGGGTAGGTTTTACTGTCTTGTCTATTTATCCAGTGAAATAGGAACACAAACATGTTTAAAATTGAAGAATAAAATATCTTTAAAATAATTAATAAACTAATGAGACTTAACGAATAAGAACAAGTAAGAAAGATAATGGACGTATATACATTATGCGATTCTCATGCTCATAGCTTTAGTAATTACCACAATCCCTCAAATGATCAATCAGTTCGTTTATTATTCCAATAGATATAACGGAAACTTACGTTTTTTCGGTTAGAGAGCTGATCAAGTTGCCATCGAGGTTTAAATATAACAAGTTAACAGTCTCACTCAGAACAGTGGGCACGGTGGTAAATTTATTGCTGCTGAGATCCAATCTCTCCAAATAGCGCTGTCTCCGCAACAGACCATCAGGTATGCTCTCCAGTTCACATCCAGAAAGTCGTAATTCCTTTACATTGCGTTAAAAATAAATTTGACAAAACGATAACGTTAGTTGAATTAAAGCTCACAATAATTTACGATAAGCTAAGACATACACGGTATACATACGTTACCACTTTTCATCTGGTAACTTTTTTGTCATTCTAAGTTGCATAAAAAATACTCTGTCATTTATAAACAGAGGGCCTACCATGAAATGATTTTCGAAATTTTGAGACCGAACGGTTTACAAATTTAATGTTAAAATTATATGGTTATGTTAAGCTTCATTTACTGGGTTGATTTCAGTATGAATAAAAACACGAAATTAAGTCGGAAAATTCGAAATTTCATTTCATGGTAAACCCCTAGATTTGCAATTGCGTAGGTTAAAAAAGTAAATGGAGAGACGGATGCGGAAAGCAATTTAGTTTTATACTATTTAAAACTGTCATTCCCAAAGTGTTTACCTTTAATTTACTGAGATCAGTAATAGCAGCCATCGTAACTTGATCTATGAAAACTAAAGGATTCCCAGTAAGATCCAGAAACTGTAATTCTGTCATGAATATGAAAGCGTCCTTTTGCAAAGAATGGATGTTATTGTACGCCAAACTAAGAGATCTGATATTGGGAAAACGTCTTGGAAGTATAAAGTCATCCTCCAGATAACCCTGGAAAAAGCAGCAATTTTTTTATTATTAAAAATAAAAACCACTGAAAATCAGCGCTGCGGCAACACGCTGCAGCAACACGCTGCAGCTTAAGCTAAGTAGGGTTCAATTTAGCTGCTTCTAGAAAATTATTATTTTAATGTATAAAGTTGTCATTAATGTTTATATGTGTTGGAGTATTAAGTGTGTTTCACTAAAGGTCCAAAAATATTATTAATATTATTCATAGGTGGCAACTCTTGTATTTTTTTTAAGATAGTGTGTGCTCTATTGTCTGTGGTTCTTCCTTTTCCAACAAAACTGTACATGTAAAAATTTGTTAAAAGAAAAATTAAATATTATAGAAATATTGTCCACTGTTTTTTTTTTTTTTAAATAAAACATCAATATGTTTTGTAGCTGAATATATGATTTATTATTATTATAAAAATGGAAAATACAAAAAGATTACGCGTCACAAAAAACTACCTATTTCAACCGGGAAAAAATTAAAATTTACTAGTTATCCCACTATGATCACTATCACAATAAGACACGATGTTTTATAGGCTCGTTTCATCCCACTAATATTACGAATAGAAAGGTGAAATTTTGTAAAAATATTTAGGCGTTTGTATGTTTATTACTGAACTAGCTTTTATCAATATCTTCGTCCGCGTGACAGGATTATGTTTACTAATCGACATAAAAAGTAACCTATTTCCTTCTTCATCTCATATACTAAATTTCATAGTGATCGTTTATACTCTTAAGGTGCTATAACCTATAATATTACAATATTTGTAATGCTCACTTTTTGAAGGATTTGTGGGACTCAATCTTAAATTATTATTATAATATTTAAAATGACAAACAATTGGACAGCCATTGAATAATAACATGGACACCACAGAATATACTGTGATTCAAATCGAAATACAGCCATGTGAGTACAGATGCTTTACGGCAAAAAACACGAGTGGGACAGAGGTACCCACGCAGACGACTTTCCGAAGTCTCCTTTTGACGTTGCTGATATGCTGTCACTGATAACATATGTATATAAAATATACTATTTTATTATTATTATTATTTCAACCGTTAACTTCACTGTTGAGCATAAGCTTTCCTCATAAAAGGAGTTTTCCAGTAGTTGACACGCTTGAGAGGCGGGTTGTCAACCACAATTAAGCTTTTACAGATATTTTTAAAAGGGACGCTGCTGTCTATTCCTCCACCATAAGCTCCTTTAGTCGCCTCTTACGACACCCACGGGAAGGGAAGGGCTGGTCCATTCTATACCGGGACCTACACGGCAATATACTATTCATTCATTTTCATTTAAGAGTTTCTTCATGCATCTTCCTCCAGCCAGCTCTATCCCAGGCCATATCCTTTATCTCCCTATACGACATGACGCCTAGTGTTTCCTTTATCTGTCCCATATAGTACTATATATAGTACATATACTATTATTTGATAATAATTATGATAATACTTGCCGCTAACGTCATTCTAGTGATAGCTGAAGTTGGTAGTTGATTGTAACTGAGATCCAAGTATTCCAAATTCTTCAACTTTAGGAATGGTGACCCGTCTAAGTAACTAAGGTCACATCGGGATAAATTCAGCCTCTCTATAGGCAATTTTGGCAGTCGTTTTAGCGCCTTTATTGGGTTTCCACTCAGATCTAGTTCTACGACATTCGTTGATATTAAACCTAAAAATGAAAAACAGTCTTATCATTTATTGGAAATAGATAATAGGCAGGATAACTTGTATTTTCAAAGAATTTTTAAAGATATATTAAGCGACCAACTAATCACAAAGCGAGGCCGAGGCCCTTGTACCTATATAATACCTGTTATGGGGGGGGGGAGAGGGATTGTTAGTAATATGGACTACCAGTCCCATTGCTAGCAATATATCCTATCGGGTCGACCTCCACGCGGTTCTCCCTGGAAACTATCGTGACCAATTTATCATTGAATTCGTCACAATGGGCTAACTGACCTGCCTTTTCATCCTCACCTATCACCGCTCACTGGTACTCCGCTAGTGTTTACCGATAGCGCAGGCGCGGTAAACATGCCATTTTCACGCATAAAAAAAAACCTGCTATTTAAGGAATTGTTAGTAATGTGGGCTATCAATCCCATTGCTAGCAATCTATCGGGTCCACCTCCGTGCAGTTCTCCCTGGAAACCATCGTGCTGAATTCCAGACGTATTCATCACGATGGGCTACTCACTATCCCTCACTGATGCCTCGCTAACGTATACCGTCAGCGCAGGCGGGGTTACAATGAATATGATGATAGAACGAGATGGATTGGTTTACAACTTATATCATATTTACTTATATGTTATATTTATCATCATTATATCGTCACCTCTATGGCAAATTTACGAATCCGCAGTTTTTTCAAATTTGACATTTCTTTAAAAATCTACAGTTTGCGTCATACTACTTATTGTGGCTTATTTTCAAATTTCTATCTCTAACGGTTAAAGAAATCTAGTAGCTCGAATCTCCATATTTTTGTGATATACCCAAAGTAAACTTACTTAGCATATTTTTATAGTATTTTCTATAATAAACACTTTAATTTGAAAATGTCAATAATTATTTTATCAATTTTTCAATCCTAATTTAGTTATTTTACATGAATGATTGCTATAACGTTGTTATTTAAACTGAAGTTCTCTTCAAAACACGTGATTTATACCTTGGTATATTTACGAAAGTGGCAATTTCGTTAGTTTGCTAGATATTAAAATAAATGATTTTCTTTGGCAACTTACGAAACTGCCACTTTCGTAGATTTGTTGTTGTATAACTCAATACCTAGGAATTCTCATGTATGAAGGTGCAAAGTAACGAATATGCGATTATTTCTGATACTTGTAATATAATAATAATTAATTAATAAAAAACAGGATTTTATAACTAAAATGTTAGCATGATCTTTTACAGTAGTCTTCTATCAAAAGTTATTTGCATTCTAATGTTTCAAAACGTTCTCCTGTAAAATGTATCTTTTTCAGTTTCGTAAGTTTACCATAAAGGTGACGATATCAGCTTTTAATTGTCCCGCTGAACATAAGCCTTCCCCATAAGGGGAGATTTGCCAGTAATTAACATGCTTGACAAGCAGGTTGACCCACCACAGATAGGCTTTAGAGATGTTCTAAGAGGGGCGCTATTGCCCATCCTTCGCCCTCCCTTAGTTGCCTATTACGACACCCACGGGAAAGGATGGCGTAGTCTATTCTATGCCTGGATTACACGACTGTTTAAATATTAACGGTTATTAGCTACTAAATATTGTTTTAATTAAATTACCTCCTAAATCATCATCTTCTAATATAAGCAAGTTATGATCCCTACAATCCACTTTTTCATTATCGCATGCACATTTTTTGCACAAAGAAACTGTTAGCGGCCATGTTGGTTCGTTGTTTTCTAGGTTGTTATGTCCTAAGTCCTCCTCCGAAATTAAATTTGGTATTAATTCTTCAACCTCCCTCGATGGCATTTCCATTTTTTCTGTTTCTGTAAAAGAACAATTTATTTACTCAAGTAGATTTTGTTCCACGAAAAAAAACTAACTCAATTGTAGCCAAACCAGTTATTTTTTTATTTAATACTATTTTGATTTAAAAACTAAACTACTGGACTAATTGTGGATATTTCTACGGGACTACTAATCCGAAAGTATATCCTTTTAAATAAAAAAAAAAACTTTCTAAATCATCACCACTACATACCATAATATAAAACAAACTCGCTATCGCTGTCTGTCCGTCCCTATGTATGTTTAAATCTTTAAAACTAAACAACGGATTTTGAAGCGTTTTTTTTAATAGATAGAGTGATTTCAAAGGTAGGTTTATATGTATAATACATGCATAATATTGTAGAGAAACACTGATAATTTTAGAGGTTTCTAATGTGATGTCATGTAATGTGCACCTGTGCGAAGCCGGGGCGGGTCGCTAGTTGGTTTACAAATGACGAAGTTGTAACAAACATAAAAAAGTACAATCGAATTGAGAACCTTGTTTTTTGTTTAAGCTAGTTGAAAACAATAAAAACTATTTTAAATAGTCCTTACTAATAATCTATTCATCCCCATTTTGTAATATTGCTATTGAAATTTCTGAATTCCCAATCCTCTGAAATGTAATAAAAATCCTAAGAATCTATGACGCAAAATAATATGAAAACGGATGTAAAAACAAAAGAATAATAAACATAACCTATCATAAATCAACGAAAAAAATTTAATTTAGTAACAACAATATGTTTATCGATTTAAGTCCCTTCCCTTTTAAAGTCTGCTAAACAAAGTAACTGTATTATTACTTTGTTGATAAACAAAAAGACAATATGTTATTACTTACCATCGTTAACTTGTGATGCACTAAAACTAATCAGCATCGCAAAAACCACAACACACGTTATATTTATCATGTTTTACCAAACTATAAATTTGAAATTCTGACGTTACCTATGGTAGATAAAATTTGAAATATCCTTGCAGACTGTGTCATAGAAAACATAACAACAGAATTGCACTAACAGTCACAGTACTGATCTAATAGTTTTTTACCTAAAACTTTATACTTTTTCGTAAGAGTGTAAAACGACTATTACGGAATGGTTGGTACCGAAATGAGGTAACGTCAGAATTATTCATTTACCTTATTATTTACCTATTTATATTGACCACATTGTTGTCAATTTTTAAAACCAATTGAACAATTATATATTTCTGACTAATTATATGAAAACTGTGAATCGTCGAGAGCAAGAAGATAGTTTATAGAAAAGATACAAATCATACACGTAGTATGTTGTATTTAGCAATGAAATTAAAGAATCGTAATTATGAACTATATCTAAACATACTGGTTTAATGGAATACATAGAGTGAACACAAGCATTTTAGTACCTTAAAACCTAATGGCCAGTCTACAAACATTATTTACTCTATAGATAATCTTACTGGATTTATATATATGATAAGCAATTCAAATAAAAAACATTTGGAGATAAACAAATTCATCATAAAATAGAGTTCAAAGTAGCATACCATTCGTAAATGTTGCGTGTACAGACCTCTGTTGATACCAAACGTTTGTAAATACGTGTAAGTTATAACTGTGACCGAATTCTCCATAAATCTGTAAACAAAGTTTTACTCCTTGAAATTCTTTTTACTTATATAAAGATATGTGATGTATTTGATATACTATTATAGATAAATGCGAAAGTTTGTACAGATCTTTTAATGTTTATTACTCTTTCCTATAAAAATTACTGAATGAATTTGAATTAATTTTGATATACGGATAGGTTATCTATCTCACCACATAGGTTACTTGTATACTTAATACTTCATATAATAGAATATTATATGAAGAAGAATAATAATTTATATTTGAAAAAATGTAAATAATCAGATTGTATAAATTTATTTATTAATTTACGTGTGTCATAAATGGCTCAAATAAAGTGTTTATCTATCTATCTATCTATCTATAATGTATATATTATTTTGTATTATTCCACCAGCACTTTCCACTAGCACTTTATTGCACCACTTAAAAGTGGTGCAAAAAAGTGTAAATAAATAGATAGAATACGATATTTTATATGTAGATAGGTTATAAATACTAAACTTAAACCATAAACTTAGTACAGTTACTAGAGAGTTGAGTAGATACCGCCTGCTTTATAATATTAGTTTATAACGTAACGTGAAAAAACAAAAGAAAAGAAATAAAATATTTTTGTTACAATAAATTCTATGATTCATTGATACAGGATATGATTATATATAAATATAAACTATAAATACATTATCGTATACAAGAAAGAATGTTCTTATAGACTTTATCTATTACTTATTACAATATATAGATATTAGCTATCAGATATCGCAATTTGTATTCACAATTCGACGTTGACTCGGTCTTCTAGGTAAAGGTATTAATATTATTTTTAAAAGATGGGCTTTTTCATAATCTTTTGTGTTCGTATTATTTTTATAGTTCGTTACTAATTTGTATTAGTGATAGGAATTTTAAAAGTACTATTGTAGCGATAGTTTTTTATCTCCTCAGGATATAAAATGTATTTTCCAAAGAAGATATATCGTTTATGAATAAGTACAGCCACAAATTAAATGCTGCGGCGTTTTTTCGTCATTATGACAAAATCTGCTAACACTATGGGCATAAGACTAGTTGAGCCAAATGCTTGTTTAGTATGCAGTGTACAGTGAGGACCCTTGTTAATACACAAATATAATTTTTACTCAAAAGAATTAATTTCTTAGAATAATTTCCTAAAAAGTCTTAATCAGGGCTTTCGAGTGATTTAATCCTAGTTACAGATGCCAGCTATTATTTGCTGCTTCTAAGCTTTCAAGTTTGAGATATCTGAGCTTTAGGTTTTGAGGCATGCCACAATAAGAATCTGGTCCTATTTTGTAGTTTATTTGGGCACTTTTTGCCCTTTCCTTTGCTAATTGGTCCGTTGTTTCATTTCCATAAATGTTTGAGTGATCCATCTCAAGATAATGTTATATCTGCCAAGTCATTTAGTAACAATATGAAGTTGTTTATTAGTCTTATGTTATATATATGTATATATTTGCTATCAGATATCGCATTTATTTATTAGATAATTATAGTTATTCGACGTTGACTCAGTCTTCTAGCTTGTGAGTGTTGGAAATACATATCAAAACATTTTCTAATACCTTATGGCACGGAAAATTTACTATTACTTATACCATAGCACTCAGTGTTATTTCTCACGAGTTATCTATAAATTGGGTTTATCTTTCAAAACAGATTTATCTATATATGTACCTGCATGTAATAAACTTTGAACTGAACGATATTTTTAAAAATAATATAAGCGGTCTTAGTAAGAGCAATAAAAGTCAAAAGAATATTTTTTTGAATATTCCTTTTATACAACTTACAATGGCAAACAAGCTGACGGCCCACCTGATGGAAAGCGGTAACCGTCGCCTATAGACATGATACCCCCCATGCGTTGCCATTCCTGAGGACTCATGTGTTATTCCTCTGTACCCAGTAAATTCACGCCATATCCCACCCTTCAAACCGAAACACAGCCATGCAAACACAACTGCTTAACGGTTGAAACACAAGTTGGACAGAGGTACCCAAGCAATCGACTTTTGTATCTACAAAATCTCCCTCTCGCCAGACTGTCTATATATTTTCTAGACTCTAATACTCGAGCATAATTGAGGCAACTTACTCGTAAAGTATATCGCAGTACGAGAATGGTTCAGCGACTGCATCCTTACACGAGAAACCTTCTGCTCTCGCGAACAAATAAGTTTGCGAACTCCTACGTGTATTATACAGTAACATTGTAAAATGGTCTTTTCTGTGAAGTATTCCCTTTATAACCTAGGATCCTTCAAACGTCACGTGAAAAATTACTTTGTGAGCCGGCATAGTACGGCCAACGGTTGAGAATAGAACATGGACCATATTATTGTTCCTGTATTCATTTAGAATGACGTGGTCAAATGTCGCGCTACTATTAAAATAATCATCATCATCTTCCTACCCTTATTCCAATCATTTGGGGTCAGCGTAATATGATTTTATCCATATTAGAAAAAGATTTGGTTTTTAGTTTTACGACCGGCCACCTGCTTGACGTCAACCCTCTTTGGGAATTCATTTGTTGGTGGTTTCCGCCACCTACAGTATGGAGGAAAAGATTGAGGAAAAAAGGAAGGGAACGTTGGAAATGCGTAAAGGAAATTGGTGAATGAAAGGAATAAGGAACTTATGTGGGAAAGGAAAGGGGGGGGGGAGGACACTGCAGTTGTGGAAAGGACTGGAACACTGCAGCGGCTCGGGAGGCCGGGGTCGCATACCCGTATGCCCTTATTCTGACGCGCTATTAAAATACTATTATACTATTAAAATAATACAGCTGAATTTTATATATCATATCTTATTTGAGTGGCTTTTTATTGCAACATATAGTAATATTTTTGTAGGTATTATTATATCTGTATATATTTTACCGCCATACTCGATATTGTATACCTTTATTCTTGTATGATTAATGCTGTAAGATAGTATTAATGGAAGTTTTATATCAATGAACAATGATTTTTCTTTGACATAGCCATGGACCAGTTATGGGCCAATGGGCTTGTTAAAAAAAAGTGCAAACCGAATCATAACGTTTCATATAATAGTTGTATGTTACACCACACTAGTAGGTAGTTGAGACAAACAACCAGCGAATCTATCGACAGATATACTATATCTATCATATGTCTTACGATACAAAGAGAAAAGATTAGATTTTTTTAAACTTGGTCTGATGGTATACCCCGTTTACTATCAGGCGGGCCATATGCTCGTTTGCCACCATAGTAGTATAAAAAAAAAACTCTAATTCGTAACCAATTTTATTAATTCTTACACTTATTAAAAGCTGCATTTATTAACGCGTAACATGGGCTATATTTTATTTAAAAAAAAAAGTGAATTCCTGAGGTCACTAGATAAAACGTGACAAAAACTTTCTTCGACTTCTTCCCCCTTGCGGTTTGTGCGCGGTAACAAAAACATATATTTATCGCTAATTTCGCTTGTCACTTTATTACAGGAACATCTTTGACAGGACCAATTAACATGTGGTGAAGAATTGTCATCCGCCATTATCACTGATAGTGATGGCGAAGTATCTAATAAATAAAACTTTCGTAATTTTTTATCAAACTACGTTTATTTTATAAATATTTGCACGGTATGTGTATCTATATAAACATATATTTTATGTACATATTTTAAATAATTAGGTAAGTACAATTTTGGTTTCATAAAAATTTGGTGGGTGATTAAAAAAGGAAAAGTGAGTAGTGAAAAATGAATTTTAATAATAAATAAAGATTTGTAAATATAAAGCTTTGCTTAATCATATTACACCTATTTAGAATAATTGTTTCTAGGCTATAATTGTCTATTTTAAATCACAAAATACTGCATTCCAAACTTTAAATAATTCGTATGGATCTCTTTATAAAAAATTATGAACGATCTTTACAAGGAAAAAATTAAAAAAGTTATTTTTAAATTTGGAGGATCTATATTTTACATATATTACAAAAATAAAAATAAATAAATATAATTATTACAAAATTTAAAAGTCCAGTCTCTTTTCAAAATCGTTTTATATATTGTTTTATTTTAATATATTACTCAAAGTAAAACTCTCGACCTAGCTAACATAGTTAATATTTTTAATATGGCGAGAGACTCGCTTCCATAAAGAAATTATAATAATGATATGCATGTGCATTCAATATTATTTATACAATTTTATTCGTCTCTAAAAAAAGTACTAGCACTAAGTAGTTTAATTAAATTAATTATTGTGTACCTAAAATGTTTAAACTTACATCCGAACGAACCCTTTCACAATTCAAAGAAGTAACTACCGTCTTACCCTATCTTAAAAATTTTAGACAATAAATTTAAAAAATACAACTGGTTAGTAGTAGAATGTTAAAAAAAATCAATACATACAAATAACATATAGTTAATCCCTAATACTGTGTTTAATAAAATCGCACAAAAGACAACTTATATTAGTATTATTATTATTATTTTCAACAATTTTACTCGTTTATATAAATTAAATAATTAGTTTAGGGGCTTGGCCGATTTGTTCCAGATTTATTTACACTGGTAAAACTGATATAAATAATTATATAAACAGTACGACATGACTGTTAATATTTAATAACTTATTTTAATTGATGTTTAATTTAATTAATTTAAAAGAAATTATTATCGTAAAATAATATTTTATAAATTTGTTATTAAGAAGATTATTAAGATTATTGTGTCTATTTTAAAGAAGAATCTTCTATTTTGAGTATAGGTTATTCTGAAAATTTACGTCTGTTTTACCGCGTAGTTGCACAGTGTCAGTGACGGCCGATTCTTTTTTATAAAATAATCAATAAGCTTTTCGAAACTAAATTCAATCTAATAATTATCTTTACTAATATTATAAATGTGAAAGTTAGTTTGTTTATTTGTGACCTATTAGCGCATTAACGACTTGACCAATTATTATGAAATTACGCAAATTGTATAGGTTGTAGAAGGATATAGAAGGCTTCTTTTTATCCCGTTCAGAGAACATATCCCAGTCACGCGTACGAAGTCGCAGGTAAAAACTAGTAATTAATATTTTTTGACAACCAATTATTTTATTATATCAATAATTTACGTTTTGGATTTTTTTTATATCTTTTCAATAACGTGTTACTTTACTAAAAGGTAGAATTTTATTTGGGATTTATATATAATTGTCATCATCTGGTGCCCGTTTGTAGAAAGCACGAGAGACATCTCTCGGTCCTCGGAGGCCGATCCATGCGAAGTAACCATTTCTCCACATCAAGACTAGAGCCAACATCACTGGTACAGCTAACAGGACACCTGGAAGATGTTCATATTATTTTTAAAGATAATTTTGCAAATTTATTTAGATTTTTTTGTCTTTTTGTAAAAAAGGCTAAAGGAATTATAGTTGAGATTTACAGTAAATAAAGTGCACATACCAATAAGTAAGCCAAGAAGAATAGCACCATCTCTTTCTGGCCTGTTTCCGTACTTATCAAGGCATCTCATGTTGCGGTGGATATCATGAAGGTGCTTCATGGTATATCCACGCATTTCAATGGGCTCTTGACACCTGAAGTGTATAAAAAAAATACCAATAAAACGGAATAAAATAAAAAGAAATGTTTTAGTTTTGTGAGCTTTACCTTCTCGTAACCGACCGACTCTAATTAAATACTCGAATACCCATACGAGTATTTGTTCGAGTATCAGACTCGAGACAGGATTCGATTCCTTTTTAATAAATACCAAAATGCACATCATTTGTATGAAAATACTCACACAAGCTTCTCAGAAGCATTGACATTCAATGATTCAATGGTCGGCACTAAGTTGTCGACCATCCACTGCGTGGAACAATCGCATAGCAACGGGTTGTTGGACACGTCGACCGCGGTCAGAAGGTCCCAGCGAGCGAGCAGCCGAGAGTCTATCACTGACAAGTTGTTTGACTGGAGGTATAGCTAAAAACAATAATAAGATGTTCCCATTAATATCATCACCGACATTAGGTACAAAAAGATATTAAGGTAAGTAAGGTATTAGATCTTACAAAATGGCAATGCTAATTTTCCTCTTTTAAAAATACATCGCTAAACCAGTGATGAAATAATAAAAATTATATAGGAACTTGTAATATTCAGTTACAGACTTTTGGTAACAAAAATTTAAGTTCATCATCATCATCTTCCTACCCTTATCCCAATCATTTGGGGTCGGCGTAATATGATTTTATCCATATTACAAAAAGATTTGGTTTTTAGTTTTACGACCGGCCACCTGCCTGACGTCAACCCTCTTTGGGAAAAGTTTAAGTTAATTAATTTATTATATTATATTAATATTATAATCTATTTCTTTAAAATTTATTAATTTATTAAATATAATTAATTTTATATTGTTCTAAGTTAGTATGGGCACCCCATAATACTAATTTGGAACAATTGAAAAGTTAAATTTTCGAAAATAGTTGTATTTACTGGTAGAATATTCTTTTACAAAGATATTATTAATTTCTTTTTGACTTTATATAGGTAAGTCATTGTCATAAGCCTTTATACTCGTATTTAAAGACTACTTGTTCATTATACATGAGACCTCTAATATAACTACTTATATCAGAGGTTAATAGTTAAATTAAATAAGCTAAAATTAACTATTTATAAATTTTTATTTATACAACTTAGAATGGCAAACAAGCTGACGGCCCACCTGATGGAAAGTGGTAACCGTCGCCTATAAACATGAGCAGTACCATGGACATTACAGAGTATACTGTTTCGCCCAGGATACCCCCCATGCGTTGCCATTCCTGAGGACTCAGGTGTTATTCCTCTGTACCCAGTAAATTTACGCCATATCCCAACCTTCAAACCAAAACACAGCTATGCAAACACAACTGCTTCACAGTAGAAACACGAATGGGACAGAGGTACCCAAGCAACCGACTTTTGTACAAAGTCTCCCTCCCCTTCTAAATAAATACTAAGTAAGCTCGAAAAATGTACGTGCGGTCGTGCATCTTTGATTATATTATATCCAAGCAATACACTCAGATAATTGAAAAAAAAATTAAATACTATAAATAAAGGAGATAGTAGGTTGGATAAATAACCTCTTTTATCAATGGCCAATCGTAAGTCTCCCCTATATCATCAGGTCTTGCCAGTGCTTTGGGATCGATGACGGCCAGTTTTGGGTTGTAGCTCATATGAAGACTCTCTAACGACTCCAGGCCAGCGAGTGCACCTGCGCCGACCTGTCTCAAAGCTGGCATATTGCACATGTGTAATTCCTTCAGCTTACGAAGATTCGGGAAAGCACTGTAATAGGACGTAAGTTTCTCGAATAAGTAAATTTCTTTTTTGTTTTCCACTAGCGGCTATCTTTAATAATATTCTAAATATGAATTGATACCACTTGGCACTTTAACGGTTGTACCAATCACACAACATTGGGCATATATACGTTCTATTTAGAAAGGAGAAGGACTACTGTTTATTCTGGTCAATTAATATATCCTAGTCATGCGGACGAAGACGCGGATATAAACTAGTATTACAATAAAACTTATAAAGTTACAGTTTAGAGGATCTGTTTGTTACCTTTCTTATATTGTCAAATTTGATAAGTTAAAGACAGAAATTGATAGGTCAGGTCAGCTTTTAAATGTAGAATTACTGGTACTTACGGATAATCTTCAGAATTGGCAGTAATCTCAACTATCGGGTTCTGGTTCAAATTCAGGAACAGCAAGTTCTTGGTTTCCTCCAGCTCTTGAGGCACAGCTGTCAGTTTATTGTCGCTGATATCCAGCCGTTCTAAGTACCGGGGCGTGTGCAAGAACTTTTCTGGGATTTCTGTCAGTTGGCAAGAACGTAGTCGTAAGATCTGGAGAAGAAGGACATCATTAACATTAGTTTTTTTTTGGATGGGTGAAAATGGTATGGTAACCCCGCCTACGCTAATGGGATACGCTGGCGGAGCACCAGTGAAGGGTGATAGATGAGAATGAAAACAGGCCAGTTAGCCCATCATGATGAATTCATCAGGAATTAACCATGATAGTTTCCAGGGAGAACCGCGAGGAGGTCGACCTGGTTGGGTATATTGCTAGCAATGGGATTCTCAGTCTCCATTAGTAACTATCCCTTTCCCCCTACCGTAGATAGTTTGCGCCAAAATAAATCTCTGTTAATAGGAGTAGGTACTCTATTCAGAATTGAAGTTATTTATAAAAATAAAAATCATTAAACAATAAAGAGTTTTAATTCACTCATTCGAACTTACTAAATACGCCTAATCTTTGGGTTGGCTATCGTAGGATTTACTATCTATGATGTATAACATAATTATCTTTTTTTTTATACAACTTAGAATGCCAAGCAAGCTGACGGCCCACCTGATGGAAAGTGGTAACCGTCGCTTATAGACATGAGCAGTACCATGGACATAAAAGAGTATACTGTTTCGCCCATGATACTCCCCATGCGTTGCCATTCCTGAGGACTCAGATGCTATTCCTCTGTACCCTGTAAATTTTCGCCATATCTCACCCTTCAAACCGAAACACAGCCATGCAAACACAACTGCTTCACGGTAGAAACACGAGTGGGACAGAGGTACCCAAGCAATCAACTTTTACTTGCACAAAGTCTCCCTTTGGTGACTTACCACTTTCGACTATGGAATAGCAAGGTTACAACTCTAAAGACCTAAATGAAGCGTTTTAGCCTTCTTATGACTTTATAATAAAATATTAATTATTCATCTCACAAAAAAAAAACTAATAAAGGTATATACCTTTAACATGGGCAAACTAGAAATCGCGACTAATGTCACTTGATCTATGGTGGTTAGAGGATTCCCGCTCAGATCAAGCTCCTCCAGTTCTGGCAGATGCTCGAACATATCCTGATGTAGCGAGTGGAGGTCGTTGTACGCCAAGTTCAACTGTCTCATTGAGCTGAGCGGTTCGTATTCCTCGGGGGAGTAACGACCCTGGAATTAAAGATATAAAACATTATTGAATCATATTAATTAATTTGCCGTACCTATACTCTATACTATTATTCCCAGCATAGAATGGGCCACTCCTTCCCTTAAGGGTTCCATAGGTGTCGTAAGAGGTGACTAAGCAAACTTAATATTCGAGGAATGAACAGTAGTGTTTCTCTTAAAACATCACCAAAGCCTAACTGCGGTTGCCAACCCCGCCTGCCAAGCGTGCCAACTACAAGCAAAACCTCCCTTATAAGGGAGATCTATGCTCAGCAGTGGACAGTTAAATGAGATAAAAATATAATAAAATTAATCAATTATGTTAATTTATCGACTCGATCAACATGACTTCCACAAATTAAAAGAAAAAGGGCTTTTCTTTGTGTGATATCCGATTAAATATACAAACTTTAAATGTTTTTTAAGTAGTTCAAGGGAATATTTGTACAAAATTCATATGTATGAATAACTAGGGACACAACCTCGAATGTCCAGAGTCAACACAATTTAAAAAACATTCTTCCTAAATTATATAGTTCAAATTAGTATAGAACCTTAAACTTAAAAAAAAAAAAAACAATTTTATCGTAAAACTAACAAAATACAAGAACAAGTAATATTTATTACCTCAAAAGCATGCGGACTCAACTTTGCAGAAGTCAACTTATTATGACTTAAATCCAATGTGACCATTTCTTGTAAATCCTTGAAACTGGTATACTCTATGAACTGTATGCCACATCGGGAAAGGTTCAGCACTTTAATCGGCAGTTCAGCCATCAATGTTATATTTATAAAAGAATTGTCACTCATATCAACATGCGTCGGCTTCAGTACTTGCAGTGCTGTAAATAGTTATACAGTAATCAGGGTATGCAAGGAATTCACTGTAAATTTTGTTAACTAGTATACTAAACGTTTTTTTTATACCACTGAGGTGGCAAACAAGCATACGGCCCACCTGATGGTAAGCGGTTACCGTAGCCTATGAACGCCTGCAATACCAGTGGCATTACGCGCGCGTTGCCGACCCTGAAGAAACCTCTTTACCCCCTTTACATTTAAATTAGGTTTAGCCCGAAAATGAATTATACAGAACGCTAACTGAAAATAAATAAAAAGCTCGCTACGCTCATAGCGTGGAGTCATTAAGATCCTGAATGAGGTGAGTCGACGACCGGGGGGGAATGGGATTATTAGTAATAAGTCGAACAGCCTCACAGCCTAGTAATATACACCAAAATATTAATCGTGCTTAATTATTGATGACTTGGTCATTATGGGCCAACTGACCTGCTTGCATCTTCACCTATCATCTCTCAATGGTGTCTCGCCATCGTTTACCGATAGCTCAGGCAGGGTTGTCATTTCATTTTCACCTATTAAAAAGAAAGAGTCAACGACCGACGGGGCGCAGATCGTCGCCCCACGCTTAGTAGTTAGTGTAATAATCTAATATGGATGACACCCTCTGGTCACAGCTCTGATGTCAAGAGTCTTCATAATATACAGAGACTTAATCGCTTATAACAAATAAGAATCATAAAAAATATGTATTTCGCCAAAAAATAATTTAAGTTTTGTTTCACAAACACATAGGCGTGGAAGAAAGTGATTGTTAGTAAAAGGATGTAACTGTCCAATTACCAGCAATATACTCTGTCAATTCGACTCCACGTAGTCTTTGAAAATATTGTGCTGAATTTCAGGTGTATTCATCACGATTGGCTAACTGGTCAGCTTTCACTGCCGCCTATCATACCTCACTAGTGCCCCGCCAGCGTTTACCGTTACCGCAGGCGGTCTTACCATTTCATTATCATCCGTTAAAAAAATACTATCAGTTGCAAAAACTACAATCAATATTTGTCTTCAGTGGTTAATGTAAACTGCGCAAAAATTTTCGTTATAAATGCGTTCACGTTTACGTAGAAAAGTTTGTTTGGTATAAAAAATAAATAAATCTATCATACTCTTTATTGTTTCTTAAAAGGTTACAGTAGTAAACTTATTGTAGATACAAACAATTACAAGAAAAGATTATACTGAGAAAACAATGGGCGGCCTTATCGCTAAAAGCGATCTCTCCAGGCAACTCTTGAATGGTATAATTAGAGTTTCCGAAACTATCCGCTAGAGGCGCAGCTAAGTTTTCAATATAATTTATCGACGTTAACACTGACGCAGTAGTCAAGTAAATCTGTTTTGAAACTCACACCACACAAACTCACACCTTGAACTTGTTATTTGTATCTCATAACATACACACAAAATGTGATTTTTGTAGTCACTTGAAAATATTATAACTTACCTTCCCATTCGCTCTTTTCAAAGAATTTCGTCAATCCTTGATCTGCGCAGTCTACTTTTTGATCCTTACATTTGCACTTTCTGCATATTCCTGATTCTGAAGCTATGTTAACATCCGTTGAAGATTCCGTCGTTGTTTCCGCTACTTCTCCATCTATAAAATATTGTTTCTTCTATTGAATAACAGATGTCGCTAGCGTAAACGAAACTAAATTCCATTGCCGCTAGCCGTTCGTTGTTAATATATAGAATATTCACCTTTACTTATGTAAAGGGTGAATATTCTACCAAATTTTGTTCAATTTCGTTCAGTCGTTTAAATATGAGTAGTAATTATTAGTCAAATTATAATTTATTAAATATATATATATATATATATATATATATATATATATATATATATATATATATATATATATATATATATATATATATATATATATATATATATATATATAATAATGAAGCAGATATAAAGGTATCAAATTTCATTCAATAAACTCGATAATATAAAAACAGATGTCGCTACTTACTATCCTGACAACTAATTGTAGCCATAAAAATGGCTAAAACAAAGCAGGTCAATAAACGCTTGCCCATATCGCCCTGAAAATTGAAATAAATCAAGAAGTATATATATTTTTCAATATAATATCAACAGTATCACACATAACTAAAATAGGTTATCACTAGATAATATTATCTTTATTGATTGTCGTTTTATACAGAACGGATTTTATAGGACTATAGAGGAAAAAATATTATGATATATATTTTAATAAGTATTATTATTAACCGTTCCAGATCTTGGTAGATGATGTTTTAATTAAAATCCTATTTACTCGTATCCTATTCCTATATTTGATTTATTACTCACTAGCTTTCACCCGTGATTTCGTCAGTGTGAAAGACATATGTTTACTGACTGGGTGAAAAGTAGTCTATACGTATAGCTTTTCCATTTCATATAACACGCGTATACCACATTTTTTAGTAATTGGTTCAGCCGTTAAGACGCTAAGAGGTAACAAACTCACTTTCATATTTGTGAGTAGGGAATTAAAAATACTGCAAAATAACTCAAATCTAGGTAAATATACCTAGTAATAGCTAGTTATCTAGATACTAAACTTTGATACAAAACAGCCACATTACATATCGATAAAAATTAATCACTTTATTCATTACTTTCTTAATTATTTTAATTTCATTCATTTTTCATTCATTTACTAATATAATGTAGTTAACCAAATACAAGTTAGAAGTCCAATCAATTAATTACATTTAAAGTTAATTAATTACATTTGTACAAACAAACGAAAGGATAACATAAATACAAAGTCATTTATACAATACTTCTTAAACTTTCATTATTTATTAATAATATTTGAAATTGACAACTGATGGAGAATAACGGTGAGTGGCGACCGCATATAGGCAAACACAGCGTAGGACGACCCACCACTATATCAAGTAACTATCTCAAATACATTGCAAGGAGTCAATCAACGCAAATATGTAAGCAGTGGACAGTTACAGAGACAGAACAGTGAACAGTGGCAGTGAGTTTACAGGGTACAGAGTAACACCTTAGTCCTCAGGAATGGCAACGCTTAGGGGGTATAATGGGCGAAACAGTATACTCTGTTATATCCATGGTACTGCTCATGTCTATAGGCGACGGTTACCACTTTCCATCAGGTGGGCCGTCAGCTTGTTTGCCATTCTAAGTTACATAAAAAATTGTCCTTCCATTATCCAAATCATTATCTTTTTAAACCGTACTTGAATGTTACTGCGCAGAAATATATAGTTGTACCTATAGTTATCTTGTTTTGTTTTTATCATCACTTAATCGTGATACTAATTTATTATATAAGAAAATAGATAATACAATTTCGTTAATATTTTTATTGCACTAAAAAACTTACCTTTTTTGCACTGTTGCCTTATAATTAAAATAAAATACTCATTAATTACAATAGTGTTACACTTTCATGTATTATGAACAAAGCGTAATGTTACATCCACAATCTCAAACTGACTTCAACAGTTTGTTTGTATATTATCTCTATATCAGTATTATCAGTATTTTTATCTATGAGATTACGAAGTATTTGTTCGAAAAAAATAACACAGTATGTGACAAAGACGAAAGATAAAAAAATTATACGTAGATTTGTGAATAATGGTTGTGAACATTATAATAATTATTTATAGTTGTTTTATAATTATTGATGGTGGTAAAAAAGTATACAACTTATGTATATGATAAACTGTTAACGTGACCTATGGATATTTGCAAAAACAGCGGTGTGATGTACTCGTTGTCAACACTAAAGAAATCTTCCTTTTTTCTCATATTTGGCTATCCTAACGCCAATTTCTTACTGTGTAGGCAGAGGCTCAAATAGCGAAGACTTTTAACCTTTTTGATTGTATTCTATCATTAACTTTCATTTTATTTTGCAACAACTACAAAATTATTTTTGTTTGTTATCGTAGTATCTATTTATGTGAAGCTATTACTAGCTTTACATAGATAACTACTGTTCTCATTACCTGTAGTTGTATTGACGCCGTGTCAGGATGTTGCTTTGCGTTAATGAAACCCCGAGTTCGAATCCCGGTCGTTAAGTTCCCTAAAATATGATTGAATGCAGTGATGGCTAGCTCATCTATCAAACACGTGAATGGATGCTGCATGTGAGGATTGGTCAGCTCATGTTTACTTCTTTATTTTACATTAAATAATACATATAAATACAACTTAATGCTAATTACAGTCGCAGTAACCTTACAAATCTAAAAAGATATCTGATTCTCGTATATAACAATTTGAAAAGAGTGACTGTTGAGTTCCTTGCGGGTTCTTTTTAGTAAACAACATTCTGAACTTAGCAGAAGAATCATAAAAAATTGACAATTTAAAAGAGCTTGTCTGTTTGAATAAAGATTCTAAACTTTTACAGTATGCCTTATTGGTAGGATTCTGCAACTCGTACATGCTTCAGTATGAAAAATATAATGTCATTTACAGCGTTTTTTAAATATACTATAGGTGTATACCAAAACGTTTTATCAATAAACAAGTATGCGATACTTACAATTGATTACTCAGAATAATTCCTAGAATAATGTATTACAAGTATGAATATTATAGCCGGACATGTTAATCGTATCTGGTATAACATTAAACCCGCAAGGAAATAAAAATATCCGAAAAAAATTAACTGTTATTTATTAAATGTGAAACAGGTCACCTTACTCCTACAATATAATGAATAAAGCAAGCTAAAATATTCTAGAATAAACCACAAATCTCTAAAATAGTAGATGATTTGAGATAATTTATTAATTAAGGTAGAGAGCTTTGGCGGTTGATTCTTTTTGACAAGCTTAATAGAAACGTTGCATGAAGATATATGTATATTCTGAAACTCTATAGTAATTTAATATTAGTATGAAGAAATATACTAATATTAAATAAAAACTTGCAAACTTCATATCACGCCCTGAATGAGTAATACTTGCTGATAATCAGATAACAGAATTATCTAAAACAAAATGCCCGAAGCATTTAAACTTTAAACACTTGAGCCTTCACAGAAAAGTGTGCCTTATTGGTTCGGTTGTTACATTTACCTTACAATAAAATACGAATAATAATTATGGTCAGTTAATAGAGAGCTTTGCTTTTTTAGAACATTTTCAATACATTTTAATGAACAAGACGGGTCATGCTATAGTGGCCGTCAGTGTACACTAACAAGTCCCAAAGGAGCGTAATCCGATGCCCGACATCTAGCGGCGAGTAGGATAATCACTTGATAATTGACGTAAAGTACACGTTGACGACAAAATGCGGGAAATTGGCCTAAATGAGGCGACTTGGTAACATTACTCGTACATAGATAGATAAGTGGCAAATAATAATAAAATTAGACTGTATTTCAATAACATTAATAAACTGTTTTATAAAATTATTACAGTTTAATTAAGTAACTGGTAAGACAATTTATTTCTAAAGTATAGTCGTAAGTACCTATACATGTTTATATATTCATGTAAAGAAAATAAACATAAAATATAATAAAACATAATTATATAATATAAAAACGATAATTACCACTTTCTATCATGTGAACCGTTAACTTATTATTTGCTATTATAAAACTATATATTACTCAAAGAGTTAATAATATTTGTGTCATTACTTTACGTGTATAGTTAAAAACTTGTATTTGTAATTACAAAAAAAAAATACGAGCATTTTAAAAAATAATCTAAATACATACACTTATATTGTTTTAACAGCTTCCTGTAAGTCGCTAAGAGCCGCTTGAAAGAAGTGACAAGCCGTAACAAGGAACCTGCTAGGGTTGTCTCTCTTTAATCTTGATTTATAAAAATAAACATAATTTATTCAAACTAGCTTTATTAATGAAATTTGTTAAATGTGTAGGTATTATTTGCTCGAACTTGAGAAGCAAGGTTTTAATTCCGATAAAAAGTCATATTATGTATATAAATATGGACGACATTATGGATTATATTACGGACGATATTAAACAATGAGATTAAAGGAAAATTACTTAAAATAATAAATAAAGAAAAATCAGTTTCTCGAAGGTTGACTGTAAGAGATCCCTTTATGAGATAAATCCGCCTTTGCATATTAAATGTTTTAATGTGTCCAATATAAATTATGCACAATAAAGACTTTACAATTACAATAACTATAATGAAGATAACTACAGAAAACAGACTACTTTCAGTCTATCGATAAACTGTTACAATCTATTAATAAGCTCCTTAAAAAATGACCAAATTTTACAAAATATTCACTACAATTCACACGTGAAATAAAATTAAACAATTTACTTAATTTTATTCATATTTATCTTTCTGTTTTGGCAACCCTTAGAGGTAAGTACGTATGTTCACGAGATATCAGATTACGAGACGCCCCTCGCTTTGTAGCTTGACAACTACAAGTGATGCCGAAGTACGCTACTAGTTAAAAACGTCTCTTTCGTGTTATTTGAATAAAGCATTATTTTATTAATATACTGAAAATATTTTTTTAAGTATCGACGTTCATTCTTCTTAATCATCCTATTTTCTCTTCTACTCTCCTCCCTCTTCCTTGATTTCCTTAAAAGTAGAAAATACAAGAATCATTTTAATTCAGATATTTTAATGCTGTAGCTAAAGCTGTTCATTTTTAGTGGTATTGCGATTTCAGTTTTTATTTTATTTTTTTAATTATAAGGTTAAATTTGATTATTTAACTACGGAATCCTAAAAAACTCCATTGGGACTTGAAAACTGGTAAAAGGATTGGTACGTACTAACCTTGCACCGTCGTAAGTCAATTAACTTGGAAAGGTTAAAAACTACCGTGGGAGGTGACATTTGCCGTAGTAACAAGGGGACAATTTGGCGTTATAGATGGGTAAAACGATAAACGCTCTTAATGGATAGTTTTCTGCTATGATGGGTGTCCTTCAGTGTAATGACCCTTAATATTTTGATACATGTTAATACGAATTCTAAAAAGAATTATAAATATATAAATAGGCCTAAATATTGACTTTTAGTACACAATATCATTTAAACACAAACTATACTGAATCTTATATTGAATACTAAATAAATAATAGACAAATAGGCATGAATAGATTTTTTAATAATACATAAAAAATACCGGTTTAGATTCTAGGTGGTTTATTTCTCTATCTCTAATGCCCGATCCAATGCAGCAAAAACGAAGGCATTTTGAATTCATTAGAAGCAAACTTACTAATTTGATCATCATCATCATCATATCAGCCTTTAACTATCCACCGCTGTACATAAGCCTCCCCCTTGGGGGGGTTTTACTAGTAGTTGCCACGCTTAGCAGGCAGATTGGCGACCTCAGTGGCATTCAGGCTTTAGAGATATTTTAATAGGGACGCTGTTGCCCATTTCTCGGCCTTCCTTAGTCGACTCTTACGACACTCACGGGATACAAAAGGGTTTCTATTCTATGCCGGAACCACACGGCCAATTTGAGCATAATGTCTATTATTACGCATAGAATCTAGATTAACTTTGGATAAATATGAATACATATTTAAATTATGATTATATATTAAATATTTAATACGTAAGTGAATCTATTAACGATAAGAAAATTGTTTTGATTAGGTACTACAATATTATTGTTGTAGCGACTTTCAGTATAGGAATTTTAAATTAATTACACAGGATAAGGGCGTTGACCTTTGTAATTAATTTTATCTTTGTACCTATATATAAATTACTTTCATTATTTACAAATTATTTAATAATAAATGTCAAAATATGCTCGTCAACTTCACAAAGTTTTGCATTTATTATTAAGCAGAACTTGTACTAAAATAGCACCCCACTTCGATCGTCTCTAATCTAACAAAATTGCATTTAATACCTTACAATATTTTCCCAAATAAACTTAATTTGTCGTGTAATAGTTTGGACAGGTCTATTATTTCGCACTGAGGGGTTGATTTGTTCAGTTTATTAAATTTGTCGACATGAAGCGGTGTCATTATAGCTCTTAGAAGTTATCATCAAAATGATCTCACTAGGGGTTTTAATATAAACAGATTTGCACAGAGCGAGCTAAATATATATACATTGATGCTTTGTTACAGTATTAGTATGAGATATTAAGATCCTAAATGAGTACTTTTTAAATTAATACATATAAGTGGTGATGGTGTAATGATATGAGAGGTTGTAGTAAAGTATGATAGGTAAAAATCATGTTAATGAATTTATGAAAAATTAACGACGATTATTCCAGGAAAGACTAAACTAATATTAACTAACTATTACTAATAATTAATAATCTAATCTCTTCTTTCTTATTACAGTAGGTTTACTTAAGTATAGTATAATTAAGTAATGAAAACATATAGATATTGATCAATTTTGATATAAATAGCTCCTATTTTAAATAAAAAAGGAATATTGAAAATGGACCTAAGAAGACATCTATATCTTACATGCCTAATACATAATATGGTACAAAAGAAAAAACCAAAGTAGGTCTATGACAAATTCTCCTGGATGAGAGATTTACATCCTCTTAATAAGAGTGGAAGCGTGTTATCATTTCCTATGCATAGGAAGACGGCAACCAGAGAAAGCTTTAAGTTCTCCACGGCTAAATCTGGAACGATTTGCCTTCGCCTCTGTGTGGGAAAATGTACGAGCTCAGCTTCAAATATAGACTAAAACGAGTACTATTGGAGAAACAAAATAAAGAAGAGCATAATTATCGGTAATATCTAATTCTCAATACGATATTGCCCTTATATATGTGCCAAATGTGAGCCCAACTGATAATTTTTCTTTCCTTTTTATCTAGTGCTAGCACCCACACTTATCCCTAAGAGATAGACATATACCATGGCGGACTTTTTTGTTGACCTTTTTAAGTTGTACAATACTGTAGTAGATTATTTTGATTTATCTCGTGGGGTTCAGCCAGCGTTTGTAAGCGCAAAAAAAATGTGTTTATTTACGACATCACATTAGATACCTCTAAATTTGTCAGTGTTCCTCCACTATATTATGCATGTATTATACAAACCTTCCTCTTGAATCACTCTATCTACTAAAAAAAACCACTTCAAAATCTGTTGCGTAGTTTTAAAGATTTAAGCATACATAGGGACAGGCAGACAGCGACAGCGACTTTGTTTTACACTATGTAGTGAAACTACCTAAGAAATAATTTTTATAACAAGCAATTACAGTTGTACACATTTGCATTTTTGTTGTATTTTATTAAGAGAGGGACTGGCTGAAAACCAGCGCTGTGCAGCTGTACACATTGTACTGGGACATGTAGCTAAGCCATTTCCTGGAATAAATTTTTATATTGTTGTTTTCCAATAAATATATAATATATAAAGAATATTTGCAATTTTCTTTTGTTTATTATACCATTATGTAAAATAAATATTTAGTTATATAATTAGATATATATAACCAATTACCATGATGTATCATATTATACTTAATTGCACACTAAGGAGTTTAAACCGGTTCAATCCAGCTCTAAGTGGATCAAAGCGACGCGTTCCTAGCCCAATAACGTCGAATTACGTACTACCCACATACCATTAAATCTGCGTATTGTATTTTGAACTGTATCACAAGAGGTGTTGAGATTACAAAGACAGTATTGCATTTATTCAACAATAGACACGTATATTGAATCATGGGGGCGATGACAACTCTTTTAATTTGGGCACAGGAGCTTTAGATATTGAAGTGATTTGATTATTGGATGGATGAATGTACACTGTATTACTTGTATTATTATTTATTGTATAATATTGAGCTTAAATAAATAAATTTGTTAATAGTTTATATAATTGTATATATATACTATGGATCGGGTATTACTTTTTTAATTTCTTTGTATAAGAAACTATCTAAAAAATAAAAATAAAATTTAATAACAGAAATAGATAGTATTTATGTGACTAAATTTTAGCAAACACAGAATATTTTATATACTAAATAATGTAGATACAGTGACCCTTAGATATAAAATATGCCTACATTATTATGCTAAATAATTAAAGTAATACTAGTTTTCTATGCAGCAAAAAAAAAATACATTAAAATAGACTATTTTTCTTAAACGATGAGATAATAATTGTCACGTTTCATTCGATTAAATACATGTTATCTTGGTTAATTTTGTATTAACCTATCCACCACCTATAGGGCGGTGCACTTTTTTCGGTACCTTTATACAGGTGCCACGTCTGGATATAATCACATTGAAATGCCATATAGCTATTATGCCGTCTGCCCTTTTTTCTTTAGCTATTGCCAAAGCTTTTATTAGTTTTATAGGATCTTAACAAGAGTTAAACTGCTATGAGATTCCATACCGTCTATCTATTAGGCTATCGGGAAATAACTTTTATATTTAGATATTTTTGATGTTCTGCCTGGATTTTTTTTATTAAACTTAGCATGGCAAACAAGCTAATGGCTCACCTGATGGAAACCTGTACCCAGTAAATTCACAGTGTTATTTAAGAGTTAAGAATTTCTGAAACGAATTTCATTCATTAAGGTAATCATAAAACTGATTATGAAAGTAGACGAAGTAGGATTACGCAAGAGTAGAGATCTTGGGCACTTAGTTTTCTCTTGAAAGATCTAACATAAAGATAGAGCTATATCTTGTTATTATATTATATATTGACAAAATAAGAATATTTATTTTATTCATTTATTAAAATAATTATAATATATAAATTTTTTCGTCCCAGGATATGTAAGAGTACACTAAGAAAAATAGCGCGATACACCAGTGTAAATGAAAAACTTAAAATAAATTCTGACTGACTAGCGTGGTTACTTAACGTGCACTCTCTGCTTTAAAAAGGACACCAGTGCCCAATAATCGGACATTAATGGTTTACAACGAAAATTATTTTATTATTATTATTACAGTTAATATAAGAATTTCCATAAATAAAATTAACAATTTTATTTACAAGAAAGCAAGCAATTATACGTCCAACAATAACACGCACTCGCTGGGGGCGCACAATGGGCAAATTAGTGGCAAATTGTGCGTGTGATTCTGTGAACGCCGTAACAAAGTTATCTCGACCGTCGCCGAGTAAATTTTGTTAGAGAGCGCCGTCATGTTTCGTATTTTGTAATATTAAATGTCGAATATGGCTTCAGCAATACGGTTTGCGAATTAGACCTCCGTTTAAATAAAATGCAGTGTCTCAACTCTTTTTCTTATACATAGATTAAGGATACATGAGGTCGCTTGGTTGGAATACGAATTGTCAGATCCACAGACAAACACTATGATCACTTTTTGAGTTTGAATCTCTATAACTTTACAATTTAGATCGCCTTTGTCTTTCATAGACAACCACAAAAGCGAGGATTTCAGATTTCAATGTTTCAAACACGAGTTCTAACATAAAGCTAGTTAGTCGAACTTTCTCAACTAAAATATCTACCCATAATTTAATTCTGTTAAATTTATATATAAAATATTAACACATTATATTTAATATATAATAATATTATATATTAAATATTTTTGATGATGGCCCTTTGTAGATCAGAGAAAAATTAACAAATAATAAATTAAAAAAGTATAATATATATATATATATATATATATATATATATATATATATATATATATATATATATATATATATATTATTCTATTTTCCATAGACTTATTAAGTTACATAGGGAATCTTTGTGCAAAATTTCACGATTCTAAACCACCTCTGAAGAAATTCTTCACCTCTCCTCTAAATAAATGTATCGTCTCAGTAACAAAAACATACAGAGACAAACAATTTTCTTTAATTGATTTATTTATAATTGAGTTTAATTTAGTTAAATTAAAGTTAAAGCAGAGAGAATAGTAGATTAGCTGTGTATATTAGGTAAAATTAACGTAGTAAATATGCAACTTCATTTCATAAGTTTTGTAAGGAAATTATGGTTAACAAAGAAACTAGAATTCAAATAACTACCTTTATTTTTATGAAATAAAGAAAATTGTAATACAATTTTTACATTTATGTTTTGAGAACAGCAGTCACTTCTATAAGTTCTTATTTAACTATGCCTATTTAATGTTTAATGAGCTCATCTTTTTAATTTCACTTATCATATAATATATGCTATTATATATATATATATATACAAATTATAATGACTAAACAACCGAACTAGTCACAAAGTTACAATTAAACCAACTGCACATACTGTGCTAAATAACCTATATATCTAATTCAAATATTTAGGTTATTTTACCTAAATAAATTTATTACTTAACAATTAAGTCGGCAACATATGTATTTTTTAGAATCCTTATATTAGTATGTTGTAGGATTAGGCGAAATATTTCATTATAAAAATTACATTTTAGAGCCACCAAGTTTACTTTTTGATAGGTGAATTTCATTGTTACTTCATTAGTTGATTGAACTCTGATTATCGATAATAGAGTCCAAAAAACCATTCGGATAACAGGAGAAAATATAGAACTTTATTAAATACAAATAGCTTTATTTTGTTTGAAAAATGGTATAAAGGATCTCGTAAGTATAGTATCTAGTAGTAGTTTAAAAGTAGTATATATATAAAGGATATCGTAAGTGTATATACTTGCAAGTAAATAAATGTAGGTGGAATACATCGAATTATTTAACAGACACTAGAAATTCTTTTGCAGTGGAGTACTTCTTACCACAGCACACATACAAAGGGACAAGATTATTTTTTAGAACAACTCTACACCTACCATCTTACAAAATCAATCTCAAGTTGACTTGCAAATCCGGCCCTGATTTTTATAATTAAAAGATAAATATCAAGTTCTGTTTTAATGAAATAATTTTAAATGAAAGAACATCAATCCGCAAAAATGACTGCGACTGACCGTTAAAAAGTGCGGTAAATATTATTTCTGCCCGGGCAAACTTACCGGACTAAACCGGACACTGCAAAACGTCCAACTGCAAAATTACTAAGCAATTTATAGCATGTGCACAATATTACTTGTGCACGGTTTTTTTTTTTTAATTGCATACATATAGCTTCATAGAGCTCTTATATCTTACTGACTTATCAATCCTAATCCTTGCTAGTATTTAATCGATCGTATGACGTGAAACAAATGGCTCATTATTTTTTTTTTTTATTTAATGTAGGTATTATACAACAAAGTATTATGACTAGTTTCAAACAAGACTAGAAACACTCTTATTTTTATACAAAATCAGCTATTATTGCACATATTTTATAACTAAAATATAAGAAGTAGGTAAATAAATAGATATAAATTTGATAAAATAATATAAAAAAAAGTTAACAATCACCAATACATAGTGTTTACATGATGATACTCAATATTATAAAAACGCACGCGACTTATACATACATATACAATTAATGTCACTTAATTTGATAGTTCTTTGTCGGATAAATGTCTAATATTATATTAATAAATAAAAAAACCCACAGGTATAGACAAAGAGAGACAAAGCAAGTAGGTACCTCCACTCAGACGAAAACTAAGCTACGTACATTACTATATTAAAGGTATAGATACTAAAATATTTGCCACAGTGTAACAGACTAATATAATACCTATTAAAAGCAATTTCCTCCCATAACAACAGTATCGTCTATAAATGTGTCTATAAACATTTTTCAAAAATGTCGTGCACTGGAATTTAAATCTTAACTGTGAAATTGCCTTTTATTGCGCAAAGAAAATTTGTTGTTATCCAATTTTTTATTGTCCATTTTATTTAAATAATTTCTATATTTTAACACCAATAAATTATGATGCATAAAATAAATACATAACTAAATATGAAAAAATAATTAATAATAGGACTAATTTCTTAACTATTAGTGCTATTTAGTTAGACCTACGCATGAACATATAAGTATCTATTTACACTGAAACTCAACTATGTATCTAGGTATCAAAATCAACTATGTTTTTCCATTCTAACATTTTCTATTCCACTGCAAACTTCATAATTATTTTTTAAAAATTATTTTTACGAGTCCACCGAATAGTGTTGTGCATAATTGGACTCCCCGACGATATCGATATCGCTGTCACTGTGCTCTGTCTCGGAGTCCGACGTATGTGTTGTCGACATCCGAGACTCATCCATCTGGTAACATACAATATTAAATTAAGAATACTTTAAATATAACTAAGTAAGAATACATTAAATGCAGTGTATGAGGACCCCCCTCCCCCTCCCACTAGATGGTGTGACGACCTCAAATGCATTGCAGGAAGTCAGTTCTGCAGGTGGCTCAGGATCGTTCTTTATGGCAGTTCATGGGATCCGCCACGCCTATGTTCAGCAGTGGACTGATAATGGCTGTGATGATTGTAACAGAAGAAGCGAGTTTATTTTTTAAAAATACACCTATAAAATGGTAAAATTGCACACAATTGTTAGATGTAGTATCTCTTCAACCGATCTATTGCTCATATCTGAATAATGGTTTCTGTCATAGACATATGTAACAACCTGCATCCTTCTGGTAACATGTACTGTTAAAAATTACTAAAAAAAATACTGTCTCCCGACCTACAGTAATACAAACATCTATCCCCGTTCCCTTAGAAACTCGAGAACTCTTTCCTTAATACTGCTAGTTATGCGTTATATTTTAAGTAGGTTATTTCCATATTGCTGCAACAATTTTGACAGTGATATAATAAATACTGTAAGGAACACGTTAACAAAAACTGAAAACCAGTAGACATTCTTTCCAGAAATGTTTAAAATTTATCCCTTGTTTTTTTTTTCATTAATAATCACGTAATCTATGATATTATGACATAATATAAAGAAATAATAATATTTTATAATGAAATATAATAAAATACCAAAAAAACAGCAATTCTACCGCGACGCGTGAAATCAGCTATGTGAGTTTACCGCCACAAGTGTACGGAAAATACCTACAAAAAAGCACGTGTTGTAAGAATCACACGTTGTGTGAATCATAAAATTTCAAATACATTGCGCGGCGCAAATCTAATAATCGTATACATGTGGCTGTGGTGCATTTCCGGTGGAAAAATAATCTGCAATCTGTCATTCAGACTATTCATCTAAATCATCTATTTTCGTTTTGGCCAACCTGTCCCTTTCACCCTGTATAGTAGAATTTACCTTTCTGCATTCCGAATGCTGTGGAGGTTGCTTTGAAGAGAAGTCTACCGCTGCTCCTGTCAACATTAACACCTTTTGTTACATTTAATTTTACTACAACTTGTGATGCAATAAAATTAACACAATTTCATATATAATTTAATATAAAATAAAATAAGTTAAATAAATTAAATTAAGTATTATACATTTAAAAAGCCACTTAATCAAATATGAATTGGTCTCACGATCACATACGATTTAATTTTAATTATTTCCTGTTCCCAATCGTAAAAACATGACTTATTTCCTTACAGTCTATTTTAGTATAATTATTTACTAGCGCTTAGTAGGTAACTTAATTAAAGTGATCAGGTACCTGATTCGCTCTAATTACGGATTACGACTTAAATACCCAAGTAGTACCCAACTACTAATAGTTAGGTTAGGTTAGGTTTAGAAATACACTTTTTTCAAGTCTAAACTTGAATAAAGACTATTTCATCCGTTTCTTTTAACTGAAGACATTTTTATGCATCGGGTGAATCTCAACAAATTCTCACAAAACTCGTCTCTTATTAAATTAAATTCCGTTCGTATAATTATAACCCATAACGGAACGAGATTAAGTCGATTTTACGTTATAAAATGTTGCTATCAACACCCTAATGTCTTCATAATACCTTCGTAGTTCAAAATTAAACTTTAATATTATAATATTAAAGTCGAAACTTCTGATGTGAGTGCGCCAAGACGTCCCGTTGCTTAGCGACCAAGACGTCAGCCATCTTGTCTCCATAACGAAGTTACTGCGAACATCTTGAGTTGTGGCACAAAAGCGGTGCTATTCCAAATTTAATTTGCCCGCCTTTGAGGTTTCACTGTCAATTAGCCAACGCTATATTACGCTTGAAAGCGCTTGAACGTTTCCCCATCAATTTTTTTTGCAACTAAAGCCTTTATCAGTACCAATTTATTCAAGCCCAATAGGTACGTAGGTATAACAATTTTTTTATTTTATACCTTAATCTTCTTCCTATAGAGGTACTTATACGTTCCAAGTTATGCAGTCCATCATAAAACATCTTAACAACTCCACTGTCGAATATAGGCTTCCCTCAAGGACTGCTATACTCCGGCTATACTCAATCGTATCTTGCTTATTTCCAGTAACGATATCCATTTGATATCGTTACTGGATCGTTTGCCTATATACCGATTTGCCAGTAGAAAACATTATCTCATCGGATTTTGGTCCTTCGAGCTATATGGCCAATTGATTACCCAACTTGCCGATATTTCAAGCTATATCGATTAGTTCTTGTACGAAAATCTTAATTTCAAATTCTTTAACGTAAAGAAATTTTGAACATAGTTTTCTTTACAGCTGTCTGAGTGATCAGGTAATTATTGTTCATCAACATTTTCTGAAGGTAAGGAATAACTGCTTCTTTTCAACCTTTTATTGACGGTAGCTCTAGTTAATATAGGTATATTGGCATAATACTATCGTTATCGTAACGACATAATTAAGAAATTTTACATAGATTTGCGCAATTTAATGCTCCTATATCCTTTTACTCAAAATTAAAATGTAGGTACTTTGTTATCGGTATTTGTGTAAAATAAGAACCTAATAGTTTCTCATTATTTTTGCTATGCCGAAATTTGCTTATATACGGCAGTAAAATTTTATTTCAATTTGTTAATTGTCATTCAATTGAATAATTTATTATCCTCCAACTATTAACAAAAACTTTACAAAACCCTTATCGAACAGCCCTGAGTAGGTACATTTAAAACTGGCGGATAGCTCTATCTAGACAGAAAGAGTTTAACGTTTAAACAACAATTTAAAATTTAAAGGGGAAAGGGATTGTTAGTAATGGGGTTTAATAACCTCATTGCCAGCAATACATCCTATCAGATCACCCTCCATTCGATTTCTCTTGGAAACCATCGTGATTAATTCTTGTTGAATTCGTTACAATGGCTAACAGATCTCTTTTCATCTTTACCTATCATCCTCATACACCATGTCCCGTCAGCGACATACCAATAACGCAAACGTATTTACGTTTACGTTATTGTTACGTCATTAAAATAGAAACATAGTATACCTTTTCGTTATAACCTAATATTAAAAGAGAATGCACAAAAGCATATAAATAAATAAAAAAAAAAAAACGAAAAATACAGTGACTATTTTAAATCAGATATATTCTGTTGAAGTCTAAATAATACAAGATTACAATATTAATGTTTTCTAATATTAAAATATGAGCTAAAAGCGATACCCAAAAGCGTCTCTAATTAAACGATCTCTCCAAATTATATATCACGATTATGTTCGTAATAACGCTTATTAACTGTTACTGCTAATTATCATTATTAAGCTGCGATCGTTATTTAAATTAGCAGCTAATTAATACGAGGAACCGTCTTTTGTACGAGATTGTGATTCTTATTTTAAATTATATTAGTGAAATTAGTCATTACGGTTTATTGGATAGAAATATTTAGTTTTTAGAGCAACAGATCAAGTCAATGAAAGATGTATCATCGTCATTATCATCATATTAGATGTTAACCGTCCGCTGCTAAAGATAGGCCTGACCCATAAAGGGGTTTTCGCCAGTAGCTGACACGCTTAGCCGGCGAGTTGGCATCCGCAGTTGTCTTTGGAAATGTTTTATGAGGAAGGCTGCTGCTCATTCCTCGACCATCAAGTTCTCTTAGTAGCCTCTTGTCGTAAGAAAATGTCTCGTCCACGGGAAAGGAAGGGGTATAATATGAAAAATAGTAGTATAACTATTAGGTTCTCGAGTCGGTTATCGTTTTTTTTTTTATTGTTTGTTACCTCATAACTGTTTGTTACATCAGAAAGTGATTTAAACTAAAGTAAACTGATTTGAAAAATACTTTTTTTTTTATCTGAAAGGATATACTTACAGTTTTTTTTTTCCATAAAAATTTTATTAAAATAACTGGTCTCGCTGTAACTAAAGTATGTTTTTTTGTGGAACTCGATCTTAATAATTATATAATAATTAAAAAATAATAAAAATTGCTAAACTTCAGTATGAACGCTATTATAAGCAAGAATAGTTAAACATGTAACCTTAGCACGTGTTTAGAATTTTCGCATAGTTCCGCAACTAACAAGAAGCTGCGAAGTTTCAAATAGTTATAACTTCGTTATTAGCTATAGTTTCCGATACAGTGTAGGTGAGCCATATTCAATCGTGGGACTTGTCAGAACTCCTACGCTTGCTTCTAATTTAATTACATATTATTATTCTGTATTAATAACTCCTATTATTAATAATAACCAATCGATTAATATTGAATCTGTTTATTAATTTTACTTCCATAAGGTGATTACATAACGACTAATTTATTTTGAGAATTATTTTACAAAAATAGCAATCGAAATTTGAATTTTCTGGAATCCTTTTTTTTTTTCAACTTGTTAAAGACAAATATCATGCACACCACAAACACAAGTTTGATGGGCAGCACAGCAAAATTAAAAGAAAGGAAGAATATATATATATGACTACATTAAGTTAGATTTTTATTGTTAAGTTTTGTGAGTGCACATTGCAAAATAATTACCTTATAAATAATTAAACTATAAGATTAACCAGCGCCCAACAATTCATCAAATGCTTGACTTGTTTAGGAACCTAAAATATAGGTACATAAATCGATCCAGTTAATCTTAAAATTAAATTATGTTATATTATTGCTGTACATTTTTATTTCATTTGGTTGCGAGATTTTAAATTTTTAATAATTATGTACGCCAAAAAAATCGTTTCAAATTACGGCTTTAAATTAATTATGGCCGATCCTGACTACTATACTATAGCATATTAGCTGTTAACAGTCCGCTGCTGAACATAGGTTTCCCCTATAAAGGGAGTCTGCCAGTAGTTGCCACACTTGGCAGGCGGGTTGGCAATCATAGTTAAGCTTTGATGATATTTTAAGAGAAACGTTGCTACCCATCCTTTGACTTTTAAGATCCCTAAGTCTCCTTTTACGATATCCACGGGAAAGGAATGAGCGCCGGAACTAAACGGCGATCGTGACTGCAAGCTTCTTCTATTTATAGCTCTCTGCTATCTACAAGATATAGACATTTACCTCTCTGCTGCTGCTGTTTCCTCATTTGCTTTTTATGTTTCATTCGCCGATTCTGGAACCAAGTTTTGACTTGAGTCTCCGACAAGTTGAGGGCCCCTGCCAGTTCTACACGCTCAGGAGTCGACAGATAGCGTTGCGACTCAAACCGCTTCTCTAGACCTGATAATAACAACCCAATTGTATGTTCACTCTAATCTTATTCTTTTAAAAACTTTATAATCAAAATGTGAAATAAGTTTTTAAAAAAAATTTTGTAACTTGTTCGCTATATGAACATTTCTCATACAATTAGGTACTAAGAAATATTTTTGAAAACTAATGTCTAATCACCAACGATATTAAACTAAAGGTCATTATTTCAATACCTCAACTCGAACTCGTGTTAACAGGTTATTTATGAAAATGAATATTATCCACGAATTTTAACTAGATACCCGTAAGCTGAGGGTCGGAGAAGACAGTCCTGGCCTTCCTCCGTCGGCAATGCTTTAGAGCTGACAGTGAGAGTTCCGACGGCGTGAACAGCGCGTGGTACGGTACACCTGATGAGTAAAAATTATCTTGTAAACATTCATAAAACCCCTATTATTCAACTCTGAGGGATGGCTTTTTAAATAATGATCATTTTGTTTGCTATTATACAAAAAAATATGGTCATACTAAAATATGGTATTTAGAAACCTTATTAGCGGGACTAAGACAGCAGTAAACCATATTGCTTGCAAAAAAATATACCTATTAAAATCTATTTAGAACCAAGAATACAAAATATAAAAAGTAAACTACAACCTTCTGGTTTCTAAAGTCTTTTAAACACGTATCCTACTCCGTTTAGATGTATGAACTACTTTATCCGGGTTTAGTGCGGTATAAATCCAAATAATTAAAAAAAAATGGTAATGCAGACTTTTCATAACGTAACTTGATATAACGTCTGATGTAAGTGATATTCTATTTATTTATTGTCTCTGTATGTTTTGGGTAATAAACGATTTTAATTTAATTAAAGTTTAAAAACGTTAATATTTTATTAAGAATTCGATTTCCAATTAGGATATTTATTTTATACAAACTCTATTATTGCAGTTTTTTTTTTATTGCAATAAGTCCCTGTGTTGCATAGTTTCGAATTTTGCCATGTACATGCGTACATTAAGAAAATATATTTTAAACGGCTATGTAACTATTAATCTTATCTCCTAATATGTTTCTTAAAAACGAGAAATTTTTCAATTTACTCAATTTTTTGTGCGTAACAGGACATTTTTTAAGCAACACAGAATGGCTAACAAGAAAACATTTTTGCCAGTTCTAAAATTGATAACTCGATTGATTTTAATCATTCTTTTTGCTACCTATAATATTAACTCACGTTTTTTTTAAATTATGTATAAACAAATTTAAATAAATAAAATACTTTTGCTTACCTTGGGATAAAAAATACGGTGCCTCCACGCTTTTATACGTATTCGGTGTGTGTAAATATGCACCCAAAGCACCCATTGCAACTTGTAAATACGAGCCTTCCCTGGGTGCGTGCGGCCTGACTTCATTGGGTATTGGGAAATAAGGTTTCGGTTCTGGCCTTTCATATTCAAATTGCCTCCGTGCCTCACATATAGGCTGTTTGAAATTCCTTTGTTGCCCCCGGTACAAAATGTCTTCGATTAAAAAAGAAGTTTTTGTTTGCTCTTGATTGGTGTTCGTGGGTGACTCGCTTCTAGTTTGTTGCTCCATTTTCTCAATTTTAAAAGTTATTAAAACATTTCCATATGTAAATATTTTATTTTATATGACATAATTATGACTTTTAATTTTATCTTATTTTTAGAAGTTTTTATCAAATTTATAAAATATGTTTAAATTTAAATGGTGAAACCTTTTGCGCCGTCTACTTTTAAAAATATAGTCTTTAATAATTATGTATTATATATTTCTTGCATCACGACACTTATTAAGTACATAAATTAAAAAAATCTTTATATAAATTATTATTGAAATTTAATAAACACTTTTATAAAATATCACTAATGCTGTCAGTAGCACAATAAGATATCTTTCATTATTTTCTCCCAAATACAAATATTTTGACATCAGGTAACCCAACTTTCCCGCCAAAAATGGTTAGTTCACGAAAAAAACTCTATACAGCCAAAATTATTTTCGGGCATAATGTTATCGATTACGACCATAATCGCCAGTTTACCGATTGTTTGTCGCAAACGAGGCGATTTCGTCAGCGGGCAGGGTTAAACTGTGGCAGAATAGGGTGGGGATGCTAGGGGATGAGCGGTGACGCCTTACGAGGGTGGGAGGTCTAAACTTTTTTGAGATCAAATCGTGTTTTACGTTTAAAAATGTCTACATAACATAGCCAGATATGTAGATTTATTTTTACTTTTATTAAAAAAAATTATTTCGAAATTTCAACTTAGATATTATTGCTCGTTTGCTTCCTTTGTTATAAAAAAAGATACACTTTCTTTATATATACATACATTCTTGTTTTTTTTTATTTAATACCAATTTAAAATAACAATTTACAAGTAAATTTTTAATAAAAATTTATCGAAGAAACAAAATTTATATAAAACAACACAAAAATCTAACAAAATACATTGTTATATTTAGAGAAAATTGTTCAGTATCATTTAGCCATCGTTGAGGTTCATTGCGTAAGTAGACCTTCACGTAATTTCTTAAATTTATAATTTGCACACCTAAGCAGATCACATACTTAGGAATCTATATAATTCAGTGAATATTATACAGGTTTCTAAGTAGCACCTAGTAGGCAGACTAGATGTTACTCGTAGCTTCACTTCATCTTGTCTAAATGCTCTTTTACGGTTTGTAAAGAAATTATGTATAAAATTAACTTAGCTTACTGACTTTATTAATTATAACAAATGTGTAACTGAACGACGTCTATAGGTACATGGGAATATTTAAAAAATATATATATGAGGTCTTAATTAAAGCAATAGAAGTCAAAACAATAATTTTAGAAATTTTGTCTGTCTCTCTGTATGTTTATTCCGGTATCATGCAAAAACTACTGCATGAAATTCAATGCTGTTTTAACAGTTGTATTCCTGAAGGTATAACTTAAAATCTGGACACGACATCTAGAGAAGTCTGATTATTATTCTTTTTTAAATTCATGTGTACAAAAAACAAAATGTAGTGGGCAAAAATCTAATAATAAAATCTAAATATGTTTCTAGATCTATAAGTCTATGACTTTATCTGTCAGACGTTTTCTTTCTTAGATAATATGGGTACCTTATGGGTACATAAGGTACCTATCTCTCTAGGTAGGTCTATAGGTCTCGATGATTACCACATTCTATCATGTGGGCTGTCGGCTTGTTTGCTTGTTTTAGAATAAAAAAAAATACAATATATGAATAAATACGTGCAAGAGTGTGAACCTAGAGTAAATAAATATAGATCTGATGTCCGCTATCTGAATACTGATGCGAAATTCCACGGCTAGGGCGACAGAATTTCGTTATAAGACTTAGTTCACACTAGCGGTGTAGCTACCGGAGGGCTCGACGCGACGGGGCAGTGCCCCGGGCCCTCCAAGCTCAGGGGGCCCCTCGAACACTGATGTACAAACTATAAATTGAACTAGTAAAAATTTCTCCCACATTCAGAATATAAATAAATCACATTTCTTTCAAAATTTAAATGTAACTACAAATTTATACTTTGACTTGTATTAATAAAATTTTATAGATTTGCTCCGTATTCGTCGTGTTTCGGACTCGACATACTCCAGATCTGTCGTAACCTAGATTCGTTGAATAAAATAGTGTATATTTGTCAATAAGAATATTTCATTACCTATTTCTAGTTCACAAATAGATTTTAGATAAGTGTCTATATTTTTTAAAGTTGTTGAACGGGAATTCAGGTTTGCCCGCGAAGGTAGGAACACTGTGTTCGCCTGCGAATGTATCTGTAAGAATTAAAATAAATTCAAGATGAGAGATCATGTATAAAATTTCATGTTTTAGTACTTTTATACATTCTAGATTCCGATAAATCACTTTTAACCTAAAAAAGAATAATGTCTATAGCTAAGGTCTATAGATAGTTTTAGGTTTACTATATTAATTAAAATAATATATATAAGCGTGATTATATATAAACTTTAAGTACCTATGTACTTTATATTACAAAAAAATTCTTACAAAGCATAACGTGTGACAGAAGAATATGCAGGATAAGCGGAGTGTAATGTTTGAACTGCCTATAATATTAAAATTTGTTGGGCAATATTGCCTGACCCCCCCCCCCTCAGTTCCCCTTCCAGATTGAGTCCATAAGGACATTTATGACATTTGATATAATTCAAATGTCATTAACAGAAAAATAATTAAGTAGATACTTATAACAAAATTCAGAACCTCATTTTTGAAATAAATTTAAAAACAATGTCGTGTGTACCCAGCGCTATTCTATATCTACCCTGTACCCATATATACCTTGATGACTGTGGAGCGGTTAAATTGCCAAGACGGTGTAACTCAACGGATGATCCCTCGAATGCAAAGCGGTTGTAGTGCGACATGATAATCTTGATAATTTTATCAATTTAATATACATATATTTTTTTTACAACACAGGGGGCAAACGAGCATGCGACTCAGCTGATGGTAAGTGACTGCCGCCGTCTATGATCACCCACAACACCAACGGCATTGCAGGTATGCTGCCGGCCTTTTAAAAAGGAATATGCTTAATATATTTGTTTATCCCAGCGCCTTTTAGGCTTAATATACTTAAATGAAAACCTATTAAATTATTCTTCCAAGCATGCCAAATGGTGATTCATTTATATTTAAATAATAATAATCTAAGTGTGGAAGCTTAAACAGCTAAACGGGTTTGAACGAAATTTGATATGTACATAGACAGACTACTACTGCTGGACAACTAATAATTTTTTTATATACTACTGAAATGGCAAACAAGCGTTACAGACCATCTGATGGTAAGCGGTTATCGTGAACGCCTGCAATACTAGAGACATTACGCACGCGTTGCTGATACTAAAGAAATTTCTTTACTCCTTTTTAAAATCTCCATACTGTAGTCTCTTAGAAAAATCCTAAAATATTTATCTTATTATGTTATTATATGTATTCTTTTACAATTTTATTTTCTTTTTATAAGTAAAATCATATGTTAAATATGAAAATATAATAGAAAATACATATGTATTTTTTTAAGGTTCGTAAGAAAATAACCATGTATTTTCTTTATTGTATTTATTTATAAATTCATATTTATTTATTTATTAGTACCTATGGTACTAATACATACAGAGATAATAAATGTATAATTTAGAAGTAATACTTGAACGAATCATATGTTTAAATAGGTGTAAATTATTTAATTATTACTTATATTTTAATATAATGTGCATTTACAAAATTTTTAACAATAAAATTAAATAAATTGCTATCAGAACAGATGCGTGTTATAACCCTTCAATCCCAAGTATCAAGATCAAATCGGAATACTCAACAGTCACCCTAACCTTATCCCGGGGCGGGGCAGTTCCTGCCAATCGGCGCACAGAGCGCGCGCCGCACCCTCACACCGACCAATCACGTCGCGCCAATTAGGGATCAAAAGATTACGCGTTTGGGGTCACTTTGCACAGATTGTCGTGTTGTTATAACTAGTGCAGCGACACAAGGGTTTGTCTGACAGCTTTTTTAAAGAAAAACCACAGTAACAATTTCTTAAGCGTACCTATTGCTAAAGTTAGGTGTAACATAGTCCCTTTTGTGACATGTTTTTCTAAATAATAATTTATAGAATATACCTACTTAGTTTATAAAATGAATCTAGGGAACCGAAATAGCCCGGCGCCTATTTAGTCGACATATATCCGTTTAGGCGCCCCGTACCGATATCGATGGATAATCAAGCTGAAGTGATAAAGGGTTGGTCACACTCTCGAAAAACAACCGATTGGGAAAAAAGGTTCTTGAGTAGCGACCCTGTACGGGCAAAGATAAATTAGGACGACCCCCTCCCCTTCTCCCCCCACTGGAGTGACGACCTCAAATGCACTGCATAGGATCAATAGATACAGCTAGTTCAAAATCGTTCCTTATGGCAGTCTACAGGGCAGGGGCGGCCAACCGGTCGATCACGGCTTCGCGAGTCGATCGTGGCAAAGTAAAAATATAATATTTTGCTAATCTAACGGAAGATGCTCGGACTTAATGCTCTAACTAATATAAATAAATAATTACTAAGAATAATTTCCAGTTTTATGATTTCTCTCTTAACAAAATAAAAAATACTTTAATACTACATACCTAATTGTGTACGTTGTTTCATTCGAGATTTCAAGAAGTATGTAATTAGTAGATCGCACAGGGTTTCATCTATAAATAATAGATCTTGGGTCAAGTCAAATCGGCCATCCCTACTATAGGGGAATCCTATATTCAGCAGTGGCTGTCCACTGCTCCTATGATGACGATGGCTCACTACATATTTAGGGAAACTGACAGTGAAGTGAGCAATGTACTCGTATACTTAAATAAATAAATAAATAAATTTAAAAAGAGTACCCCCGTGACACAGTAGTGAGCTCTGTGCTATAAAGCACATCTGGATATAAATCCAGATGAGGTCTCAGGTTGAATTCTCGATTAAGCAATTTTCTAAATTATTTCTAATTTACGGGACTTCAGAAATATGTAAGATGATCTCCTCAAATAATTGACATAAAAATCTATTAGTAAGTTCTGCAAATAATAGATGAAAAATAAAAGAAGTAAAACATATCATGATGTTGGCCAGTATTTATTACACTCCAGTGATAAATTATAATGTTCACAAAACTTTATCATCAATAAAATAAAAATAATTTCTCCCTTTAGGAACATCGTGGCCAGTATCTATGAGGGCAAAGTGAAAATTTCTCGGTCTGATACAGAAATGGCGTTCTAATTAGCAAAAATTTATTTTTCTTGCCTAGGTGCATATGTTATTAGTTCGTATGACAAGTTTAAACTTGTTCTCTTAAATAGTTTATTTACATGAATTTTTGCAGTAAATGTTGTGCAACAACGCACCAGCACACAAGGGTGCGTTGGCGATGGGATATATTCTCCTGATTTGGCACCCTCAGACTTCTATCTATTCCCAAATTCGCAGAAATTTATTTCTGGGAAGCGTCTGATAAAGAAGTTGAGAGGGTCGTAAAT